TCCGTTAGTTGTCATACAAGCGTCATTAGTCAGTGTTTCCAATATTGATCCATTGCGTAAAGTCGTTGGCCTTTTTATGCATTTGCTGTTACGCCTCATCCACTCCCCCCCCCCTTAAAAATCATGGACTGTCACTTAACACCCCCCTGCATCTTTAAAAAAAATCCTTGATCCACTGTTTTTAAATCTATTTATTTATCACAAGATTTTCACAGGTGGGTAAAATTCTGGTATGCCCCGTACCTCTTTCCACCGTCCACTGCACATCATGGGAAAGATGGGAATGAAACACAAATCACTCATTCTTTGTCTCTGATGTAAAACATCACTACAGTTCATATTTGACAACAGTCCCGCCCACTTCAATTGCGATGTCTGTCGTCTCCTCCTCGCCCGTTGATTTGGCACCAGTTCCCGGTGCGACTGCATGCGCGTGCTGGTCCTGTTGCTTGGTGTCCGTAAGAGGGCCGTCATATTGCCGAAGCCCCTCCTCTTGTGGGCGTGTCATATAGAACTTCTTCTCGATGGTGTAGTGTGTTTTCCCCGTCTTGGACCTGAAGTACCAGCGGTAGGGCCACGTGACTGCTAGGAGCACCGCCAGCCAATAGACGCATTTGTTCATCCACCAGGGCGTGGTCGGCTCCCCCACGAAGGCCGCGATGCGCTTCTCAAAGCCCGAGACGGTCATCTCAGTCCAGGCGTTCATGTGTTCATCTCTGCCTCTGTTGCGAGCTTTGAAGGCCTCGTATGCAGAGCAGTATTCAGCAGACGTTTCTTCGTCCCCTGCCGATATCTCCTTCTCGAGGCGGATCCTAGTCACGCCGCACTTGTCCAGGCCTTCCAGTCTGGGAGCCGAAACGTCGACCCAGAAGCTGTACATGAAATACTGCGAATCCGTGTAGGTGACGACTCGTTCCTGATAGGTCTCCGTGCGCGTGCTGCGCTGACCGGTCGACGGATCAGTATAGTTGACGGTCCTCGTGCGCGTCTCGTAGTGGAAACACTCGGCGCGCCATAAGATATCCGGCTTGGTCTCTCGCAGGTTTGATATCACCTGGGCTGCTTCACTCGCTTCTCCTATGTTATCAATGTACTCCTTTTCTCGGGAGAACGCGGACTCGAGCAACATGAAGAAGTACCCGAGCGGTATAGCAGCGGCACCGAAATCGGCCACGGTCTGGAAGGTCCTGCTGAACTCCCAGCATGTTGTCGCCAAGCAACCGACCGACCATGGGATGTAGAACCAGAAATTCAGGAAAGAGAGGACGGATAAGATTCGAACTAAGCTGATGTCTTTGATGACTCGACTTCTAGTTTTCTCTGCTTGATAGGCTCTCATCTGGCTTGCCATGCCGGGGAACAACTCTCTCGTGTACGTCAGAACCTCCTCGCCTGTACTGCTCCCAGATTCCTTCTCTTCGTTACACTTCAAGATTCCGTAGACGATGAAAGGCCCGATGACATTCAAGAAGAGGAGAATAACCAGAATGGCTATCCATAGCCCGTCCGGCTCTACGTAAACCTCAAGATCCATCTCAAAATAACTGGCAAATATTTTCACAGTAACAAGCAAATTATCTCACTGACGTTAAATGGGCCATTTGATCATGCAGTCAGCGGACAAGTGGCGCTTCAATACCTTCACCGTGGCATACGAAACTCGTTTAAATCCGGTTGTCGGTCACATTTTCCATGAAACCCCATCCGGCTCTTACATGAAATAAAACAGGCATTCACCAGGGAAGTACGATTGATATGGCACGTATTGAAGATCTGGTTCCTGTTTCACACCTAACACCCCTATGTGAATTGTTTTCGTTTTGCTGAAAAAAAAAACCACTTCCCTTTTTTTGTGCTCCGTGGACAGAACTTTAAAACGGTGGTTGTGTTTAAAATTCGAATAATTCTTGTACTAAAATATATCTTATTAATAGGGCTTTCATATGCTAGATTTTGAAAGTGCTGCATGCAGAACTTCAGTATAAATGGTCCTGCCATTAGAGTTTCCTTTTTGTTTTTGTTTTTACTTACCCTCTATATAATATAGGGCCTATATACACACGCGATTGTTTGTTTGTTTTAAGTATCGAATAATGTCCAGCTTCCCCTCCTCCTTAATATTTGTTTCGCAACCGGTGATATGTTGCATTTGTTCTTGTGGTTTCTTTTCCCCCTCACGGGAGGCGCCCATGATCCGTATCATCAAATACTAAAACAATCATACGACAATGGATTGTGATAATAGAACACATTTTATATGAATAACAATAAATACCTTTGCCACTGTATAATTATGAAACATTTTAATCAAGATCTGTTTTATTGTGTCACGACGTTCCTCAGTAAACGTAAGATTATTTTGGATTATTGTCCATTATGTGAATAATCAACAAGTAGCATACTCTCTAAAACAACCCAGTCAGATTTGACTAGAAACCAGTCAAATTTGGCTAGCCATTTCAGGGTCAGCTAGTCTATGTAATAGACCATGGCGAAAGCCATGGTCCGAGACAGGAGACGGGCTCCCGACGGGTGATACTCAGACTAGGGTCGGCTGGGTGTAACTGAAACTCAGTCAATCTGACTAGATTTCTCCAGTACTGACTTTGGAATGCATAAATAACTGAAATAAGATTGGGACCCAACTACTTTTTCTGGTCATGGTATGAAACTTTGCATGTTTAACTAAAGTCCTAGTCAAGTTTCTATAACATAGAGGGGAGGATGTCAACCAACCCTACCACCTTCCGTGGATTACGTGCGTATTCACCTATTGCCGCCTCCATCCATGATGTAGCTCCGTGTATTCAACTTTTAAAGGGAATGTACATCATTGGATTTTGCAGTAATTTTCAGAAATGAACTATTTGAGGGGTTAGTATGATAGATCAAATATTGTTACACTGACATGTTTGAAGTTTTGTGTTCGAAAATGCTGGAAAAACCAAGAGAAACAAAAATGTTCAAGTAGTCTGGTTCCCTGACTCCACTAAATATAAAATGGATCAATTTATAGATGCCGGGAAATTGTACGGTAAGGGAACCAGTCTAGCTGGCCTGCACCCGTTCATGAACATGTAACCAATAGCAAACAAAATTGGGACTGAAAAAAATGGTAAATTTGGAGCAGTAGTTGAAAATTAGGTCGACCACAGTTGGAAATGTATACAAAAATACAATTTTCTTGAAAACGACTTCGCACCAGGTGCCATAATTTTACAGGATGCTTTAGACTGTCACTTACCAACATCCTAGTATAGTATTTCATAAAAACGTGGTAGTTTTATTTTTCGATGTTTGCAAATGTTGTATATTCCCTTTAAGTGTAGTTAAAGTAAAACAATATATAAGCTCTGAACACTTCTAGTTCTAGAGGAACGAAAGACAGATACGGGGGGGGGGGGGTGGAGAGGGATGCTAGGGGTGCATGGGGAGGGGTGCTGGGGTGGGGAACGGGTGGTATTTTATGAGCCCATCTTTTGAAATTCACAGTATAACCACTGGGATGAAATCAAATAATTGGGACCCTCCAGCCCCCCCCCCCATAATCTGCTCCTCCCACCTATCCAACAAGCCAGTTATTTAGTTCACATGAATGATTAACAACAGAGCAAACATTTCAAGGCCTTTGAGCACTCACCAACTTTATAACGATGTATACATTGTATGATGGTAGATCTACTTTCGTGAATCGTCCAGCACGTTTATTGTGGCGAGATATCATAAATTGGACTTTGAGCCCTGACAATAAACACCAACAAAATGGCGGCGCGCTAGTGGATAAAACCTCCATAAATGAAGACACGGCATAAAAAAATGTTTTACGGTCATGTTCAGATAAACTAGCGAGAGATCCTCCGTCAAGGTAAGGTGATACAATATTTATCACTGCTTATAAGCTAAAGACATGACTTTGATATTGCTGAACAATTTCGTGATGTCGATTAAAATGGCTGCGGTACATTTTTCCCGCTAGAATTTCACAAACCCACTCTGTGTTTTTACTCTGCTTTTGTAGACCTATGAATTTATGTCATGAAGCCGTCAGAGGACACGTTTTCAATTCAAGTTGATGCATGTAATGGAAAAAGCCGCTTAAATGTTAAAGGATTAATGTCATGGGAGCTAGGTAGCTGAACAGTCTAGCTGAAACATTAATGTATAATTTGTATGGCTTTTTGTTTGTATCGGCCTTCGTCTCGCTTCCTACTCTATTGTGCTCCAGATAGCACAGTACGAATTCTGTCCATGAATCACCAAAAATCACATTGAATCTCACTCGGGGAAAACAGGAAATCTCTCGATCTCATTTCACGATGCCTCAGTGGAATGACGACTCGTAGGCCTAATCTGACAGGCAAGAAGAGCCGATAATACCTGAAGGGGTAGATCAGGGAATAGATATGTCTAAGGTGTGGTGATCACATCATGATGTCATGCAGTGTTGATGAGGATCAGCACCCATGCAGAATATAATAACCCCTTGCGTGCGTTAGCTCGTAAGGTCGGACTGTGCTAAAACTGCCGACCCAGACGAATTTACATTTTGTAAAGAACTATTTTAAATTGCTTCCAAATGTTTTGAAACTGAAGATTGGGCATGTTGGGTATACTAATCCCCCCTTTCAGAATAAATAATTGATAAAAACAAACCAGATAGGCCTAGCGTTTTCCATAAAGTCAAAGTGTATTGCAGTTCAGTACATTGTGCCTTTTTGCAACACTGCATTCATCTCACGAATACAGCTGTACATACTTTATGAGAAGTTAGTGATATGTACTATGCAGGAGAAATTATGTGGGGGAGCATTGGGTATATGGTGTCCTAAAAAGGACAGTTAGCCAGGACGGAACCTGTCCGTTTAATAACAGTCGAAGCTGGGTTGGTGGTGTTGTGAAATAAGTCTCATGACATTGAGTAAACAACGTAGGCCTATAGCAAGAATAGCAACTGTGGTTTGATCAATAATGGAGAAATAAATGTGTATATTTCTCAACAGATCAACCATACCGAAGCAGTCCATCTGTATTTTCATGCACAGATCTGACGCATGAGTGAGCGCAAGAACCGCATGCGTTCTACACCAATCGTCCAGCCAATTATCAAATCCCAAATCCCATCCCGTAGGATGAGATTGAGCCTGGGCAAGTTTTGCACAGTGGCCGCCCTGACCAGTCTGGTGGTCCTTATTTCCCTGACCAATCACCACTACTTCGGCCGTCGCTACGCCCAGGATGCAGGCCAGAACATTCAGAGACCTCGACGCCCCGGGGTGCATATTGGCCCGCCCCCTAATAAAGCAACCCCTGAGATGATTGAGGTACCCCCTCGGGATGAGGACGCCCCGCCCACACAGAAGTTGATCCCTGTATCACTACACTGCAAGAAAGTTTGCACAAGGCAAGTATATATTTTTTCTTCCCGTCTCCATAGCAGAACAAAAGCGAGGCTAAAATTACAATACCATGACTTTCTGGTGTCGCGAATTTGTATAGGTTACCAATCTTATACGTCAAAATGTAGTCAAAGAGCCTCTCTTTGAAACAAACCCTGCAAACAACTCAAGAAAAAGAATTAATTTCCATGAACTTTCAGAATTATCTTCCTCTTAAGGCTTTAAGATGGGCAACTGCATATTAAATACTAATTCTCATTTTCTTAACTTCCAGTGGTTTCGGAAGTGATTGCTACTCTATAGACAAAGCCATCCTGGTGTATCGAGATAAGGTCCCGACCAAGTACATGAAGTTCCGTCAGAACTCCTACCCGGTGGTCTACGTTCCTCAGCCGGCGGACGGGGAAACCCTCCCCGAGTTCCAGGAGATCGAACGGTGCAACATGGACGATCATTTCCCGGACATGTTTCTGATTCCGCAGCAAGAGCGGTGCGCCGTTGTGGGCAACGGGGGGATCCTGTCAGGCAGTGGGTGTGGGGAGGCGATCGACGACCACGACTTCATCTTACGGGCAAACCTGGCTCCCCTGGAAGGCTACGAGGCGGACGTGGGGCATCACACCGACCTGACGGCGATCAACTGGGAGACACTCAACAGGCTGCACTCGTCTGTTGTGCAGAGCGGTACAAGCAATCTGGACAACAGGATCCTCCTGGAGCGCATCAAGAAACTGCACAAGTCCATCCTTTGGTATCCGAAATCTCTCCATAAGCTGTACCAGAGGGAGATGTTGCGGAAGCTGACAGCGACCCTCAAAGATAACAAGTTCATGGACATTCAGTTGGCCTTCGGCTGGAAAGCAATCAGCATCGAAAAGTAAGTAAGAGGAGGACATCGATCGACTATAAAGGGTCAAGTTGGGTCGATATGACCCAATGTGGGTCACTCTCGAAGTGGGTTTAAATTGGGGACAACAGCCTTCATAAGATTACGAGCATGCACATGGCCTTCAGCTGGAAAGCAATGAACATTGAGAAGTAAACTATAATTATGATCGTTCTTTCAGGGTCAAATATGATTTTGGATCCAAAATCGCTCAGTCATCAAAGTTGGTTTCAACTGAATGAAGTGCAGGCATATAAAGATGACTTGGGTTTTTGTTGAGGTCGTATCTTGTTTGGCTATGGATGATCAAAGTGATTATAGAAACTTGACTGGATCAAAAGTAAATCAACAAAACTAGCTAGCCTGAGGTTTCGGTCTGAATAAGACTTGCTTTAGAGGCAACTGACAGTGGTACAAGAAACAAATCTCAAAAGTAATTGTGAGACACGACTCTGATGAGTCATGTTGGAGTAGAGTCAGACTTTTACCATTTGACTAGAGACTGGTATCAAAGTGGGACAAACCACCAAGCCTTGTACTACATGTTCCCTCTTTTGTTTTCTCAACAGAGAGTGGGGTCTGGAGGGCTTCGCCACCCTGGGCTTCGACATGTTCGCCGTGGCGAGAACTTTCTGCGCTAACGTGACCCTGTACGGCTTCTACCCGTTCAACGAGGGTCCGCACGGGGAGAGAATCCCCCACCATTATTACGAAGACATGGACTTCCAGTATCAGACGGCCAAGCACGATTTCGTGCTGGAGTTCATGAAACTTCAGGACCTGCAGACGAAGGGGGAGATCAAGCTGCAGACGCGGGCGTGCAGAAAACGGTCTGGGGTGTGACGATCGCGGAGTGCGAAACAAGCAAAGATGGAAATCGTTGTAAAATATGAACTTTATTTTAAGCCATTTTTAAACCTTTATTATTAGTTAAACTTTAATAGCCAAGCACCACACATTTTTTTTAAAAAGAAAGACAAGAAAACAGTGATTTGTCCATTATTCGTCGTTTTTATGGCTATTTTTATGGTGTGGTAACATTCATCATTTTCTATGGTCTTTTTTATGGTGCGGTAATTCGAAATCAGTCTGCCAAAATTAAACAGAAAAGTCCACATCCGCGTGCATGCACGGAGACATTTTCCGTTGTTTGAATTATTAGAATTGGCCTTCGATAGGAAAAACCTGCCTTATTGCAACCTGTCCAAAACGCAAACGACATTGAGGTTAAAAAAAAACCGGCTCTTTTAAGATTAACTCTTCCTGTTGCATCAACATGCATACTGATAACTCATCACTCGCGAGTATACACATATTGTATTTGTAGACTCAATTAAACAATTACAAGAACACGTGTTGTTCTCCACTGCCGCAATTTTCAGGTGACGCTGACGTCTACGAAAATCGAACGCACGAGAGAGAATCCGTCCGATATTTCTCGCATGTCCGGTGCCATCGATTTCAGGAGTGAGAGGCGTCTACAAAATGTCACCATAGTAATTGTGACACAGCAAATGGACGCGAAATCGAAGCAACAGCTGAAAAAGTGTGAATGCTCGACATTAATAATTCGCTACAAACGGGTTCCCCCATAGAAACAGTATGCAAGGAATTAACACAGAAATATCAAAGCATCATTCTTGGCAACAGTATTTCTCAGAGAATGGACCGATCCAGTAAGCTCCGCCTCATGGTGTCCAGACCAATCACAGCCGTGATTTAGGTCCGACGTGCGTGCACGAAAGTCCGACATGCGTGCACGCGCGTATGATGTGCGCGGCATGAATGCAGCGTGGCATTGGAAAGGAGCACGTGTTGATTTGCCCAGTGCGCAGTGGGCAGGGCATACTGGATCGGTCCATTAGTTACATATCCCCAAATTCACAGCCCCTCCCCTAGCTTGCCTGAAACTACGCATTCAGGCGTGTTACTAACAGCAAAGGGGCGTGGCAAAGTGCCAATGTGTTTCTTAATCATGCATTTTAATGGCAGTGCGAAAGTTCAGTTTTTGGAATCGCGTCGAGAGTTTTGGGCGATTTCATATAAATTAATCAGTGGGCGTGGTCAAGCCTCAGGAGTCTATTTTATAGCTGTGCACTGAAATAGTCCGACCAATGAAATGTCCTGTTTTACATTTTGATAAGTATATATCTCCAAACTTAAGCAACCTTTACCACAAACAAATAAAACGTGAATTGGCAACATTCAACAGCTCAATCCCATTAATGGTACGTGGTTTGTGCTCTTTACAATTTTGTAATAACATGTGTTAAAATTTAACATGCCACAAAATAGCTCTATATAGTAAATAAATTTGAACATTTTAAAACTTTCAAGTGTGTTGGCACTATTTTTTTTATACAAAGTTGCACTCTTCAAAGCTTTCCATATATATGAATCGAAGGCAGAGTTTCAAAACAATGTCAGTTGCATCATGGGGTGATGCATCGACGACCCGTCACTTCGTGGTGCGACAAAACATCGAATTCGTCAATTCGTGCTGCACCCGACGGAATAATCGATTACTTTGATAAATGCCAGGTTCAGTTTAAACCACGCCCACTGGCAATGGACCGATCCAGTAAGCACCGCCCCATGGTGTTCTGACCAATCACAGCCGTGATTTATGTCCGACGTGCATGCACCATGGTATGCACTAAAGTCCGACATGCGTGCACGCGCGTATGATGCGCGTGGAAGGAAAATGCAGCAAGGCATTGGAGAGGAGCACGTGTTAATTTGCCCACGTGCGCACTGGGCGGAGCTAACTGGATCGGTCCATTAAGTAGCATTGGAACCGGAAGCTAACGCAACTTGAGTGTTTAACCAATGGGCGCTAGTAATCAGTGGTGCGCACGCGTGTATGACGTTTGTACTAACGAACTGGGTACCTTAATGCTCTCGGGGTTATGCTGACAACATCCAAATCTAAGTACAAAATCGTCGGTACTCTTTGTGATAAAACCTCTTTCCGCTCAGTATAGTAACTGCCCGAGTTTCATCTTTGTCAAACCCTGGCACTTTTGAAATTCTGTTACATTTGCATCACGCGTCACGTGCACAGTCCTGCGCGTACGCCGCCAACAATTCGGAAATTTCGGGCCGCAAAAACAATTCGGAACTTGTAAAGTAGTTATTCCATAACTAAACATGGGCGGATTCTTTGGTTCCGATGTCTCATTCAAAAGTGAATAACTTTTATAGTGCTAGAAAAAAATATCAATTTAAAAAAAACCAAAATCTATTTCGGGGTGAAACTCGAAAATAACACTTTAAACATAACAGCATATAGAAACGGTGAGGCGTGCATGGAGATTGTATATTTTTCCGTCACCATTGTAAGCAATAAATCACGAAAGTGGGCTCTGGATATGAAGTTGTGTGTGTTTTAATGGAATCCAATATTGGATATTGGCTTGGAGACATTATTGGATTGAATGGATGGGCGCTCACTATTCATGGACCAAAACTAAATCCCATTGCACTGCAAGGCAAGTGCAATGTTACGCAGGGGGAGTCAGTTAGTCGAAGTGTCCGAGGACATGAATGAAATCTAAGGCCAAGTAAAAACAAAAAAAAACCAGTTTCTCGTGCACGCCCGCTTCATTTCCCCCCCGGCTGCATGTTTTTTTTCCCCCTGCCGCATCCACAACACCCCCTTTCATTTTGCAATATATTATTGTCTTGTATATGTTTCGAGCGAAACTGTATCTATATGTACCAAGTTCAAAATCTGGTAGAAAGGATGGCGGCTCCTTTGGACACAAATGGAACAATCCATTTTAGAAAATACGCCATCTTGGGAAAAGGGCCGCCTCCTTCGTTTTTCAAACAGCCCGGACGAGAAACTATTTTTTTTTCGATTGGCCTTATACTGAATATTGGGTAAGATACAACTGTTGAATTGTTTAACCCACATTCCGAAGTGTATACGTGACTCACATCATGATCATGGAGGAACTAGTGATCTCGGCTAAGTCGACACGCGAGACCTTTGGACTGTTAACAAGATTAAAATGCGGATAAAAACATTCTTTCGGAGGGTGGGTAGAATCCCCAATAGATTCTGAAGATTATAGTGGCGGCTAGATTTTTTCTCACAGGGGGGATGCGGACAATTTTAGGGCTTCTCAACTTCATGCAAGTCTTTGGATCGATTTTCATGTTGTTCTGGATAGGAGTAGAGTGGGCTATGGAATGTCACAGATGTGTTAAAGGGTTCATGAGAGAATTTTTCTGAGGAACACATTTTGTGCAACTTTCTACTCCTCTTAAATGTTTGAAAACTATTTGACATCCTTTTTGGTTAATTTTATTGAAAGGTGCACTTCTTTAAACATTTAAAATTTGCAATGCTTTTTCTGGACAATTGAGGGCGCTGTTGCTGTGACGTCACTTCAGGAAGACACTGTTCAGTACAGTTTAAGGGTTTTCTGTTTAAATTGTGAACCCAAAAATGTGTTCATTGAAAACATTTGTGAGAAAAGTTTGCTCATTGCCATGTACTGATACAACAAATCACCAAAGGAAAGAAAATTTACAACAGCAAAACAGCCAAAACTCTGACAACTTTTGGTAGCTGTAACATTGAGGTTTCTGCTTGAAATGACATCACACTATTGCTCATGAATATGGAAATTTGCATTAGCATAAAAAGCCAAATGGCACCAAAATACCCTTGAAAATGGCAAAACAAGAATTAAAAATACGGTTAAATGGGACACAAAGGTGCATTTTCGCCGACTGCATTAAAATAAAATTACATTGCATGGGCCCTTTAATGTTTAGTCGCCTTAAAGTCAGATTTTATTAAATACCGTTCCAATTTCTTTATCTAGAAGGGAAATCAAGAATTATGTTGACATTCTTAATAGCTTTTTTTCAGACTTTAATGGTCAAACTTGATCGCAGTTGTGAAAAGAAGTTTGACTTCTTTCCAAACAAAGCACAATAATATACATATAAGAATATACATGCAATTTACTTTACAGTAAACTTTACCTTATTGCTATCTTCAACATGCAAACCTTCAAAATCTTATATGTAATTTTTTACTTAAAACCCTCCTATGGAAAACATGCATTGTCAGCCTTGTTATTTACTTGGGTCAATACTGGTCAAGACCCCCATTGGTTTGTACACAGTATGCCAGGAGGTGAGGAAGAAAACATTGAAAGATTGTGACCTCTTAAATAGTAGCAAGGTTAATTAATGTAATAAAATGGCATTGGAGTGACATTATCCAGCTGGATTCCGAGAGGGGGCGGGGCTAGGGAAAGGGCGTGGATTGCCTCCAACCAAGTCAGAACATTAGCTTTTTTGATGTGATGGACACAATAGTAAGGCGATATTTGGTTAGGGTTCATTTAGACGAGTATAAAAGAGTTGACCGAAACCAAATGTTGTGTCCATCATATCTCAAAATGGTTAATTCAGCCAGTGCTGACACAATTCACATCCTCAACTTTAAAAGCTGTTTCTTGGTCACGAAATGCAATCCATCCCCCTCAATGAGAAGAGAATTAGTAATTGTACCTTAAAGGCATATAGGATCATTTGCATTTATCGCAAAAGTAACCTATCAAATTATTATCAAAAAGCTTACTTGGATTACAGATTGTACTGGTACTAAACAACCCCGTGAAATTATTCCGTCTGGCTTGCTGTCATTTAGAAGAAATCAAGAAATGTAGGTGATTTCCAACGATCAGTCAGTCGACTGATTTTTGGAATAAAGAGGGCTAATTTTGTGATGCTCAATGAAATTCTGGGATAAAGGTGTTCCAATGCACACATTCCATTGGCCTGTTGCCCAATTACATAGGATACCATATCTATAATCTAGAGTGTTTGCAAAAATTATCCAGCATTTGTTGTTTGAAGACAAATACCTCAAAAGCAATAAGCCACTTGCGAATTAAATGTGAGTAACATCTGGTACCCTGACTTGCTCGAATGCTTGGCACATGTTAACTTTGAATTCTCCAGACCAAAGAGAATGTTGCTGTATCACACGATTCAGGGCAAGCCTTATGCTAGCAACCCCCAGCTCCGGAATGGTCTGGTGTCTTTGTGCCATTCTCACCCATTGTGAACAATGTATTGATGCTGAGCGTCTCTTACGTAACTATGCAAGAGCTTGCCCCGAATCATGTGATATAGCAACATTGTCTTTGGTCTGGAGAATTCAAAGTTAAAACGTGCGAAGCAGGACGAGCAATTCAATGTACCAGAAGTTATTCAAATTGAACTCACAAAGGGTATAGGTTGTTTCCAAATGGCTTATTGACTTGGCCAGTGGCCAGACATACCAGCTACATGTACTAACCTTGTATAAAATTGAAAAAAAAAAAAAAAATTATCAAAAACACAAACAACATGCTCCCAAAATTGATCCATCTTTAATAAAATGTACATCTTTTTTTTCAAAAAGCCAACACCCAAAATTCTGCGATTACTCTGATACATTCAATCTTGTTTATACATTGGCTGCATACACAATAGGTACAAGAATACACCATCAAGCAATATTTAAATCATTACAGTCATACATTCAATTTTTCAAAAAATAGACTTGTGCAGCCCACACTGGTGTTGAATTTACATCATCATGTGGGAGATAATTACAAGGTTGTGGTTGCAATTGTTATCAAAGATGTTAATTAGATCAACACACTTTTTTTAGCATTGAATACGACAGCTAATATTTGGAACTTATTCATAGTCTAGGCACGCTTGTGTAGTTTTAAATTACTAAACTGACACTCTTGTAATATGTTCAAGCTCAGCGTCAATACAGGGATGTAGTCGAATCCATCTCAAGTCCAGTCACAAGTAAATCACAAGTCGTCGTGTGACAAGGAAAAGGACGTTCGCAGCCCAGGATAAAAAAAAAAAAAACATTTTGGAGATAATCGAGTTGAAAGGTTTTGTGCTGCCATTTCTAGATCAAAAATCACATAAGGTTGAAATTTTGACTGATGACATTTGTTCATAATTAAAGTAATATTGCGCAATTTGATGTCAAAATATTACTTAATTGTGAAATTATTTCAATTTTTATGCTTCGTATGCTAACGACCTATTACCGGGAACTTCCCAAGCCTTAAATGTGCGCTTAAATCCTTACGTCTTTTTGCCCGGAACAAAATTGGCTCTGCGCACCAATTTAAGTGGGACGTTAGCACGCTTGGAACATTTTTTTGTTACATTAGAATTACACGCTTACGACTTTTTGCCGGGCACAAATAATGAAAAACCTCCTTCCGTCCTTTTGTTTACTGTTAATTACGTCAGAATGATGTAGCCCCTTGAGACAATGTGTATATCAAATGAATGATTTTTGCAAGCTCTATCGATTATCCATGGGCTGCGTGCACGTTCCTTCACTAACCCCTGGCCTTGTAGAATACGAAAATGATGCTGATTCACTATTCAGAGCGTACTCTGCACGTATTTTGAAGGCTGGATGCACTATATGTGCTTGCGTTATCTCCTGCACGTCACGTCACGTTCAAACTTTTTTTTTCAAGACTGCGCGATGCCTCTACGATATAGAACGTCTGGAATGCTCGTTTTTCACACAAAAAATACTTGATTTTTTAGTATGCTCATTTCGAATTGTAACAACGCGACAATCTTTGAAAGGATTGATTCTACAAAAAACCTTCAAAATTAAAAGCACTGTCCGTCGGGCATTAAACGCATTGACTACAGTCCTACTATAAATCATCCACATAGTTGGATATTTAAATTACCATAAACCAGGGTTAAGATCGCGCAAGGCATGGTGGGAACCAACATGGCGCAGTAAGATCGTACCCACGGGAACGAGGTTGAATCACAAGAATCAGTTGATAAACAATAACAAAGGAATGCCTTTGTCAAAGCTCATTTGACTAGCTTGTGAGTTGAATTGGGCCTGGAGGACTTGTGATGGACTTGCAGGGACTTGTCAAGGACTTGACTACATCCCTAGGTCTTTATCAACAGGAAAAGGCAATTTTATACTCAGCCAAACAGCAAAAGTGAATTTCACGATGTCAACAACTGTAGTTTCATTGCGACATTTGCAGTTCCCCTTAACAAATTAGCTTCCCCGTTAATTTTGCCCGAGGAATATGAGCCAGGCTTTTGACACTGAAAATGCATTTCCACAAATGAACTGCGCTATGCGGTGAGTTCTGAGACTTGCAATGAATGCAAACATGTACATGTAACGCTGTGCTGTGGGGGGCTTCAAAACATGTTTGCATGAAAGCACAAAGTAATTGAATTATAGCTGAATGGTCCAAACAACACAATAAATACCCTAATAGATTCCATTTTGTTGATGGAGTCTTCTCATGTGTAGAGGTTGTCCATGTTGAACAATGGGTTTCCATCAGGATCTGTGAAGACAAAAATATTGACATCAAGAATCACTAAGTCTAATGGCAATAATAAATTGCAAAATATTTCTAAATGACAATTTTGGGCGTTCCCTCGGTATGCACTGAGATTGCTGAAAGCTATTTGTTTCGACTGAAGCGTGTGTATTTTCTTCAGAAAAGTGTACTTTCAAAATGCTCTTATTTTAACCAGAATTAATTTCCTGGGCTGAAATTCGGACTTAATATCCCTTACATAAAATACTTCAATTTGCGACACATCAACTCACCTTGGATATTCCTAGATTTCGAGTACAATCCATAAACATGTACCTATTTCGTGATAACCTTGTGAAGACGTATTCACCTACAGAAATTGCTCTGTGGAGACGTATACAATCTTTTGTTCCCTATTGCGCACATGTCTCCACAATGTACCGTGTACCAGATCACTGAATCCACAGTTTCCTTAATTAGGCCCAGAATATTACATACACGCCAGTATTAAAACAAAACCCAAGGTAAAGCCTCTTGTGCAAATTGGAATATAGTGCATGCGACCCATCACTGATGACCAAAATGTGTTGAAACGTTAGTGTACACAGTGCATTGTTCTCCTGTGTCTCGTGCCCTTGACGTATTAAAATCCACAGGCATAACATTAAATGCATACATAAAACGGCATAGAGTGCCATTAATTAAGTATTCACCACAAGAGACCTGTACGTGCACAAAAAACATATCACAATATTAAGAGAAAGAAAAATAATCATCAGCAATACGAATGATTACCGATACCTTCTCTATTCTGTGTCAATTTCATTTCCGGGGGTCGTTACTGATTAAAGGAAAAGTACACTAAACCATTATTACACCCTTCTTCAGAGTCATTAGCTGTTTCAGCCGAAACAGCTCTTGTTTTCATTAAAGTTTCCGTTAACATTCAAGTGAGCTAATCATGATGTCATCACATGTCATGTGACTTCACATTAAAGGGGCATTTTTGTAAGGCCGATATCTATAGAACTATAGGTCGGATTTGGTTGTAACTTGTTTAGTTGGGAGGTACTGAGACCAGGATGTGTTACATATGAAAATTGAAGTGACGTCATGATGATGTCATCACAAGTCATGTGACATCACATTGAAAGGGGCATTTTCAAATCTGAATATCTACATGTAAATGCTGACGTCATCACATGTCATGTACGTCACATGTGTTTTCAATGACATTTGAAGTGACGTTGTCGTCACATGTCACAGAGTGATTTCAACCGGTGTTTGTCCACAAACACATTTCTAGATTTTTGTTTTTAAAGTTTGGTCATTTTGTCCGGCCTTCTCCCATCTAGCCTTCCACCTACTAGTCCGAGTATCACCCGTTGTCCAATGGAGCCCTCTCAGTAACCAACATCTGATGTATATGAGCAATGCAAATTTTATGATACTCACGCGCCAGCCAATCAGAGTCGCATTTTATAGAAATTGTGATGTCATTTCGATCAGAAATGTGGACTCAGCTGTTGATTGGTCAACTTGGCTGACATGCTTTTGTAATACAACAACAGGTTTACATCATTTTTACATAATTATGTAATAAATGCCCGAATCTGCTTGCATATCATAGACACTTGATGTGCAAGGGGATATTCCATAGACTATCCGATAATTACTGGACTCCAGTTCCAATCCCTAAAGGGCATAAATGTGGAAAGGGTTTCCACTGATTCCCTGCCTAATTCAGTGTTTTTCCATGGAATTTCATTTCAGGATTTCCTGCCCAACTCTAAAACTTATTGTTTTTCATTTTTTTTTATTACATTCTCCGTTTGTTCAGGGTCCTGAAGTACAGTGCCTATGCACATGGGATAAATAAAATCACTAACGTAATCTGAAAACAGTAAACCTTATTAAATACATTAAAAAACCTTGCAGATAAAGCCACGGCATGTTGCAACTTGCTTCGGTATTGAGTCTCTTACCCTGTGCTTGCCTTTCTAGCTGTGCTTTCAATCGTCGAATCTCCTCTTCAAGAACGGCATATGCCTTTAATGAAAAAAAAAAATCATTCCCATTCGAACTCACATACCACGGTACGTGAGTCAAACACCATGGACCATGGTGCTCCACACTTGTACATCAAATTAAGGGGCACATCAGCCAGCAACTTTTTTAGAAGACAAGTTAAAAAATTCTCGAGTAGACCAACAAGTAACCCGAACGGTCAAAGTTTTATTGACCTTTAGCAATTAAATCTTTGGGTCAAGGAAAATGACCAGGCGCACTTCTTGTCAATATTAGGTTGAACGAAGAAATCAGACAACATGTACGCAGATATAAGGTCCACTTACTGCTGAGCACAGCTCCAATGTCTGAAAGTCTCCTTGCGGTGCGTTGAGGGAGTCACCCTTAACAGCGTTCATGAGTTGTTCTTTCTTTGAGGCGTTGAGAACGTAGCCGGCGTCTTGAAAGATTTGTGTCAGCTTCTTCTGGTAACCCTGGAGACCAAATTGTTAAATATTCCTAGAGTATGAAAACCCTCCTAGATCATTCACAATCTTTCAAAATTAATTTGAATTTTTTGGGAGGATACTTCGAATTAAAAATGGTTTTATTGTTGTCTGTACTGACCTGCAATGTGATTTCCTCATTAAATAATTCGCCTTCTATTTCATCCCATCTGCTTCGAAGTGATTCAGAGAGGGTTGGGTAAACTGTAAGTGAAAATACCGACAGCACATTGACAATTTCCAAAAAGCTTTGTATTATAAAAAGGAATGCAGTTTTTGTTACTGTATAAGTAAATACATACCAAGCAATATGTAGGATCACAAATTCTACATGTATGTTACACTGGATGGGCAACTTTTAGTGCACTATTTTAACATTTCTTTTGACTTTGAAGTATGCTTTTTTCCCAAGTTTTGTAAAATGCCTGTCGGACTGAGTCTTACTCTAGTAACAAATACTGAAGTGACAATTACTGTAGTACTGAAAAATTAAGCAATAATACTGGAACACCCCTTCGGCCTCTGGATTGTGTGGAATTACACTGAAAATTTGCTGCCGAAAAATCAATATCACAAATTACTATTAACCCTAACCCCTCAGCCTAATTTACTAGGAACCATACCCATTCTGGCAAATTCCAACACCCACATGGGAGATTGTACACACACACTGTTGGACTTAGTTTCTGGAGGTAGGCCAACCCCAGTGTAAAAGACCATCAGTTTAGGGGAACTGTACCTATCCCGACAGATTTTAACAAAACCTGCTGTTGAACTTTGATGGGTTGAGTTCGGTTAGGGTTTATAAAAAAAACCTTAATGTTCTGTAGACCCAACTGCTCATGATAGCGACGTTCTGTACTGTCCCCTGACTTACCAAGCAATGAATGCTGATGACACACTAACGGAGTGATGAATACCATGGAATATTCACAGGTGGACGGCTCGGACACATTGGCAATGGAGTTCAATGCACCGCACCTGAGCGAAACCTTCCAAAATAACATGAACATTGATTAGAATTTTTTGTGTCATATTAGTCCGAAAATTTGGGACCCTCAATACTGTGTATGAGAGTCCCAAAACTTAAGGTATTGAAAACATGCAATACAAGAAAATAGACTGGCATCTGAAACAGCCAGTCCAACAACTCTTCAGTACTGCATCAATCAACTGTCAGCTGACTGTTCCAAAAGAAATATCTAGGATACCAGGTACTAGGTCACTATTTCTACACATTTCTCCATAGTCAGGCACCAGACTAATGACTATGAATGAAGAAGTCAGTCTTCTCAAACAGTTGGACCATGGATGGACATGTACAAGTCTAGTCTTTAGCCTCATTTTGAAATCACTTGACTTCCCTCTCATGTGCAAGCCACTGCCAAATATTGAAGAAAAGTCTCCTTTAATAATTGAATTGAGTCTTCAAACTTGGTTGGTGAAATACTGAGGACCTTTTCTTTGCCACTTGAAAGTTTTGGAGAGATTTGCTGGCTAAAGAGTGAGTCAAGTTGGCCTGATCTTCTTTTGCGTCATTTTGAGCATGCACTTAAGGTCCCAGTCTGGTGTCCTATGCACCTTTAAAACCCAGTTGTGACTCTTATGCAACGATCCATCTGGCCTCATACATGTAGACACAGAGACCTATGTAATCATTACTAGAAAACTGCTTGTAACTACTCATCCCGTTCGGCAGAATATTTCTAAGTCACACTCATCTTGAGTATAGACTTTTAACTCATGTACATCTTTTCATAGATTGCATGGTTCTTGACTCATGATCAGAGGGTCAGGGGTTCGAATCCAGCTGCTGGCCATAAGTTGTGTCCTTGGGCAAGCCACTTCATCCTCACTTGCCTCTCTCCACGCAGGAGTATAAATGCGTACCGGCATTAGCTGGGGAGTAACCTGCGATGGACTGGCATCCCATCCAGGGGGAATAGAAATATTCTCAGTCGTTTCATGCCACGGAAACTTGAGATAAACGCCAGTAAGATGGGTCATTTTGGCTTTTTGGCATACTTTACTTTCTTTTACTATAGTGACTTCAACAATGCACTGATATGGACTACTCATACAGATATGGTACTAGCAAATGTAAAAACACATTAAATTTTTTGCTTTTCGTACGTCTCATACAAAAATCAACTACATTTGTAGCTGGCTTCACTTCTAAAAGGCAAGCTAGAGTTCAATAACCCTTGGTGCTTGACCGACCACTTACTGTGACTTTTCTGTTTTTGCTCATACACGCGTCGCCTTCCTTCATCAGCATGGACTTGAAGACGTTGCCTTCTATTTCCCATTCTTGCCAAATCCTGCAAAAAACAGACGATCAAAGTCATCTTTTGTATTTGATACGACAAATGAGTGTTGAGTCACACAAAACGTTTGGAGATTGTATTTATTGAGCTCTGTCTTTGATTTTATGTGCATCAGCAAAGGTACAACATTTGCTTGTGCTGACTGATAGTTTTCATTTCTTCAAACTATTAGTGAAATTTGGCAATTCTGCAAAAAAGGTTTTGGAAATGATTTGTTTTGCGAAAAGGAGACAGTAATGTGGAATCTCATTGTTACAGATGTTACATTCAGAGCCTACTGACCAATTTCAAAAACCAAAATAAAATACTTAACAAATTTTATATACTCAAACAAATTATATAAACAAATTTTATATATTCGATACAACTCTAGTTTAGGCCTTAAGCAGTTCGCGCCTGATGATGTGTATACCTGCAAAGGTTTTGCGGTATTCAAAACGGATGGCGGATAAACACGCAGGGAGCGAGGCCGAAAAAATATATTAGCGACCCGCTCGCAGCGAGCGAGGCCGGAAATATGAGTGTGCTGCCCGAGGGTGATGGCTTCAACCCACCTGGCATGAGCTCGAGTGAAAAGTAATCCCGCGCCTTGTTCCGTTCGTGTCAAAATAATCCTGGCGCGAACTGGTTAATATATAACATGGCACGGTTAACGTAGTGTTAGCTGAATTAATTAATGTGATATAAGCACTGTAAATTAACAACCATTACCCATATAGGTTTCACTTTCAGAACGCATTAACAAAAATCTGTACAGTTTCTTGCAAGAATTTAATGATATAACTGTGTTGTGGTAGATATAGATTCACTCTATACAAACACCAATGACATTTCACAAAAAGCTACTTTGAACATCATGTTGCTGTTGTTACAGACTTCGTAATAACATTACGAATGCTTCTGTCTTGTGTTTGAAATCAATTTCACACACGTGATATAAACATACTGAATCATGGTATTCAAAATTGGGTGTTATTTTTACGAAACGTGAGCCTTTGAAATCAACTCACCCTAAAATACCACTATACGGGTTCCATCTTAAGCTCTGTTCATGTTGAGTTACGTTCTGGAAGGGACACAGCTCATATTTGTACCTATAGGACAAAAACAAAAATCCAAAGTAAATTCAATTAAACAGATGGTCCCCAGCGCTTTATGAAACAAAATTCCTTGAGTTTTAAGACTTTTCCCTGATATTTCTCTGAGAAATTTCAAAAATTCTGTTAAAAATATTTTCACTTTAACAAGGTCACTGGAAAGTCAAGAGGTGGTGTAGCACAGCCAATTGTTATTGTCTGGAGAGGTGTGTAATATTCACACTGCATAAACACTAAAAAGCTGCCATAGCCAGTCAGTATATGGACACAACTTGGACACATGGCACAAGACGCACATACGTCAAAAACTGGCTAAAACCTTTCCATTTGGGTCACTTTACCCGAATTCCCGGACTTTTCCCCAACTGGAAAAATTGAAAACTGATTTTCCAGGTTTCTCTGAGTGGCTGGCCCCTAAGCTGCTTAGTTGGAAAAAAAAACCAATTATTGAAATACTTTCTCTTAACTTTTGCAAATTGGGCACTTTTGGAACCAGTAAATCAGATGGAATAAACCAAGATTCACTAAATAGTTTCACTTACGAGTTAATTGTTTTTGAGAAGCATCTTCCCACCAATCTCTTCAGATGCGGAGGACCTGGAATAAAACAAGAAAAAACTTCTCTATAATATTTCAGAGCTAATATTATCTTGCATATTTATGCCATTTTCCCCCTGCATAATGAAAAAGTGACATGATGTTTACTCGCTCTGCCCTCAAAGTGACGCAAGCATTTTACAAAGAATCAAGGATTCCTTTATAACCAACTTGATCACATTCCGGGCAGTTGAGTTTGTACGTTTTCAACGACTGGCAGTTGTCTATTGTATAAATTATATACAATGTCTACAATTTATTGTCTTATGTTTTCAACATGCTGCCAGGGCTCGATTTACAAAAAAAAAAGTGGCATGCACTGGTGCATGTAGACCAAAAAACCTACATGCACCAAGAAAAACCCACATGCACCATAATCGACTTACACCCGTCTGCTTCTCTGAAGGTATTCTTTCTCTTTGAAATTTATCGAACTTTTGACAGACAGTACAGTACATAGCCTTTTTTTACTCTATCATGCTCAAGCCTATATAGACCCGTGAACGTGGCAAAGCCACACTGTTGTGGCATTTCGGGCATTTCGAACATGGCGAAATCGATCCGCCATACATTATTTCGTAAATATGTTCAGTACTCGCCTAGAAATCAACATTTGCCTTCCCGCGTGTTCAGGATGTGTCATTTCGACGAAATTTGCCATCGATGAAGACCCATACGAACGTGTTGAAATTAGATTTTAACCTGACAAAGTGACCCTGACAAAATGACCCTGGACATTTGCGTGCAAAATATCGGAGCCCTCCTAGCTACCCGTCTGCTTATAGGCGGCGTCAGATTGGCCAATAACGAAACCACGTGATAAACGCAGCTAATAATTGGGAATGCACTTACGATCCGGACATAAGGAATGCCCGGAGCGTCAGTGCGATACCAAATTATCTGCAGCATGTATCACGTGGTAAATCACATGCATGATCGGAGGAGGTTGCAGGACGTACGTCGAGATCTTGAATTTTACCCCGTACTCTGAATCTGCTGCGACTGTGCGAGCATGGTGCGAGGAATAATTTATGGATTTATAAAAGAAATAACACGTTTGTACACTATCTGGTCAAGTATTCAACAAACTTTATTCTTATTCTCACTCACTGGTAAATATATGCATGAAATGAGTATTTTGGTGGCTAAAAAAGTTACATGCACGTCGTGCATGCTCAGTTAAAAAGCTACGTGCACAAGCAAAAATCTACATGCACTGGTGCATGCGTGCACCCGGGTAAATCAAGCCCTGCATGCTGCTGGCACAAGATCGACGCTTACTGTTCTGTAAACAGTGCGCAAGTAGTTTGCTTAACATGTTCAAAATTAAATGTAAAATCCCATCCTTAAACACCACATTTTCTGCTTTATTTCTCCGACCGTCTCTCCACTTCAAAAGACAATGACATTTTTTTGTTACTAATTTCAGCAAAATACTGACCTACCTGAAAAATTGGCTGGTTTGACTTTGGGTTTCAGGCTTTCCTGCTCATTTGTCCCCCAATTCTGCCTGCAAGAGGAATCAATACAAACAAGTCAGTATCTCGGGGTTCGAATCCCGCCTGGGCCAATATGTGGATTGTGTTTTCAGTCCCTGCCTGATTCCGTGGGTTTTCCCCAGAATATTCTTCTGGGCTTTTCCTCCCACCTCTAAAACTGTAATTTCTTCTCATTGTCTTCTCTCCACAGGTTTCTTCAGGCTTGCGAGCTACAGTGCCTAGGGCGCTTTTGAGGAATCCTTGGTTTCATTACCAGAAATGATTAATAATAATAATAATAGTTTGGTTTTACTTAGCAAAGTTGAATGCCACCAGCTGACTCACCCTGTATTTATTGGTTCATTTACCATTCTCATCTTAACTTGACGAGCGGATGCCACAGACACATCTGAAAAAAAATGGAGGAGAAAAAAACCAGAAAAGTCTTATGACTCATAAATAGTCTTATTAATAATGTTAAACTGGTTGAGTTTATAATAAGTAGAGCATGTATGTACTAGAGCAATCATGCCTGGGAACCCCCAAAACAAGGTGATCGTGTAGTGGAGGGCCTTGTTCATAAAGCCGGCCTCAGGTATAAGTCGACCTGCGATTTAAGAACCATCTTGATACCTACTGGAAAGAAATTGGATATGGGGTCACAAAGGCTTAGCCTATTCTATTCCCATCAACCTAAGTAAGTAAGTAAGTAAGTAAGGTTTGCTTGCGCCACGACGAAATGATTTAGCACTAGTGTCTAGGCCTATGGGAATTTTTGTACACTGTTGCAGTTGCACCCTTAAAATTAGAATTTCGTGTTTGAAGAGGCAGTGATACTATCACAAACAAAAGGAGGTGCAACAGAAAACTAAGATCATCAAAGACCCACCTTGGATTAACAAAACGGTAATTACAGCCACAATCTTAACCAACATCGCGAGATATTTTACGTTCGCTCCTCATCAAAACATCAACAACCACTCAGGATATGGACTGGAAACCGCCGCACATCTTCTCACACAGTGCCTCCATCCAACGCGTCCACTGCCACGTTGGCCTCCTGTGATGGGACTGGGAACCGGACTAAACGGTGACAGCATTACTCATTGAAATGAGGGCGCTGTCGAATTTATACCTTGGCGCTTTGATGAATGACTGCATGCACCATGTACCAGCAGGACTGCAGTGAAAAAAACCTGACAATTCATTTATTTGTTTCAACATAATTTGCAACTACAAATGAAGGAAAATTTTCCCTGAATTCTTTTTTTTCACTTTATTTGCCATATCCAAGAAATGATGTGAAGTGTTTATTAAAATTCCCTGATGAAACTGTCTCCAAACTGCACCATATATTACTTAGAAAAGGAAGAGCCAAATAGTCATTCATGCATTCATAAATTATTATTGCGAATAATTATGCATTATATTATTGCGAACGAAATTGCCCGAACCCGGCGACCGGAACCGAACGCTTTACGAAGACGATGCAAGTAATCGTAATACATGACGTCTTCGACCCCGCCCACTTGCACCTGTGGATGAACTTTTGACCAATAAACGTCGACCGTTCCTTATTTGGCCACAGGCATTTTTGCCAGCATAAGTCACGTCACCGACACACTGCAGCACGGTATTCGGCCCCGCCCACTAGCACCTGTAGCCTGCACTTTTGACCAATGAACGTCGATCAGTCCTTATTTGGCCAGATATTTTTTTTAGTAACAACAAGTAGCGCGTACCAACTTGAAACCCCCCCCCCCAGAAATGATTAGCACAAAGACTGCAGATTTTGTAAACCTTTTCTTGTTAAGAGTCCTTATTATAGTCAATTTATCTATCTATCTTTACCGACACCTTTGCCACCATTTTGTTTGGGCCACACAGGAACAGTCGACGTCTTCGCACTAAACTGGAACTTGTTCTCCAACAACTCTGAAGTCTTCGTGATGAGAACTTGGGGCGAGTTGTCGGCCCACCGCGTACCGGAAGATCTCCTCCGAAGACCAGCTAGTGTTCTTCCAATGAATTCAAGATGGAGGAGCCACGATTTGCTATGCGATTGACGTCAAATTTCAAAGGTAAAACGAAAACTGAATTTGAGCCGAACAAAATCACTCTTGAACTTAAACTTCATTGTTACTGCAAATTGAATTTAATGGGTCTGTGTGAACTGACCCTCAAATGTTTTCAACTGCAACTTGACCGTTCAACGCAACAATTGTTTTCGTGCGTGAAAAGCTGGGGTCGTGGACTCTGAAAATACGACGGGTCCACGTAATGTCAAGTTCAGTCGGTGAGTCAAAAGTCTCTATTTGCACAGGTCGGCTCGTGCCAGAGGCGAGTGAAACGTCTGGAATTACTCCTCAGCTTGCCCTCTCAAAACTAAAAGAGGTATCGGAATTTACAATAAAATTTGTAACCGTGATGGTTCTATTTTAATCGCTCAGGTTTGGAGAGAAGCTATAGAGCTCTGAATATTATGCATTGTATATGAAATCAATAAGTTGTAATTATAGGAAACTGTTATTTAAAACTGCATCACGCAGCATAATTCAATGTGAAATTTTGAAATATCTTCTCAGCTAACATAGTTTGCAATATATACAATCAATCAGGTCAAACTTTGTGCGTCACTTACAAAAGAGGCGTTTTGGCAGAATCTTGACTGACCGGCTGGATTTCAAAATATTATAAATGTTCGCATTTAGGTAATCGCCATATTGTAAAGCTTTTTAGAATTGTAATCGGAGATTGACTTACATGTCCCCCCCCCCCCTCCCCTCATGACCAGCACATTTATAGTGACACTTCTCAGCATAATCAACCAGTTAACAGTGTTTGTGATAATAAATATGGTACCGGTAGCGGCCTATATTGTTTGTACATTCTTGAGCAAGTTGAGCTGGAGCCCAATCTAAATGTCATTTTTAGTGACCTTTAAAATAAAGCTCTGCAGAACAATGCTTATTGGTTTCTTGGCCCACGCACCCACGTGCCAAGAATTTACTATTGTTGCAAATTAATGGCAGCTGTCAATCATTATTTGCAAGGAGTCGGGCATCAATCGTTATTTAAACCTAATAAGTGGTAGTTAACAAGGTAGGAAGTCTAAAGTGCCCTCAAACGTGAACCATACTTTACATTGCAATGAAATAGGAAAGTTATTTCCTATTAGGAAAACAAAAACATGACTTAGTCGCGTGTCAAAAGTAGATTATCCAAATAATCAAATAATACCGGTCGGCATGAAACGTGGGTATAAAAAACAGACTGTGCTTTCTTTGGAAAGCGCCCTCTGTAGTTATCCAGTTATTATAGACTGGTCCCGCAATCTGGGGACTTAAATAATTTCTTGTTATGTACAAATTACGTACCATAAAATATATTGAAAGGGTAACAGACACGGGTGAATGAGCGGCGGGTAAGAAAAAAAAGTGTTGACACATTGCACATAGAATACATGGAATAGAACCGGCATTTTGTTTATCTTATTCAGACATGTCAGAGAAATGTGCACTGAAAACATTGCAGTAATCGTAAGTTATATTGAGGCCGTAGGCCTAGGTTATTTCTATGCTGCATATATTAGTAGTAGAGCAGACAAAATAATGCAGAAACCCATGCAAACTGGCATTTTGAGTGGTTTGATTTTGATCATGTTGCCTTAATACATTTATCATGTTTATTAAGTTGCAATTGCATGCCTTGTTCAGTTGTTGGTCTAATTTTTTTATTCATAGTATTTATTAATACTACCAGTACTAGAACGCTTAGTCAGATTTACATATTAACAGTAATTTACTCGGTCCTATTTTGGTAATAGGCACAGGAAAGAATGTTGCATCCAGGTTGCATCCTGGCTGATGCCACTTTTTTCATGTTTTTCATCACAAAATTACAGTGCAGTCATGGCACTTGCCATCTTGGCAGTGCCAGTTGTGAAATGTTGAAAATACATACTTTGAAAAATGTTCTTGACTCTCCATTGACTTTGTACACAACTGCTGAAGTGGTGTCTGTATACTTCATTGTTTCTTCAGCGATACACAGTATTGATGAGAGTCCCAAATGTTCATACTAGGTGCAGCCCAGCAAAGACCTAATATATGGAAGCCATATTAATTACATTTATTCCAAATGTCAGTGAAATCTGAATGCTTTAATACTCAAAGAGTTTCAGTAATAAGTAAAAGTTGCAGAATCGATCTAGACCTAGTTGAAATGTGAATTAAAAATATTTCAGTTACCTACCTGGCTCTCCCCACCATGTATCTTATTTATTGTTAATACAATTTAAAAAAATCCCAAGAAGTTCGAAATAGTTTAGGGCAATTGTCAGACAGGCCATGTTTTCTGATTAAAATAAAAGTTATATTGTCACTGGTTGAGTATAAACAGCTTGTTCTTGCCTCTTGTATTATGTAGGTTGTCACACAAACCACACCTGTATGACTGAAGCAGACACCACGACTTTGGAAAGGGATCGTCTTTTTACATTTCGGGATGAGGAGACCGATGATGAGTTACAAGTCAAGATTCCGGAGGTCTGTTCTCTGTTTTGTGTACATGTTGATCACTGAATCATGTAACTCTGTCACATTATCATGACTTTGTGAATGTACTTTTTTGCCTGTGACTTTATTCATTTTTCTGTATGCAGGGGTGTGAAATCTCAGCTTTAAAGCTGATTTCAGCTTTTTTTGTATTGGATTTCAGCTTTTTTTCCTCACTTGCTGTGTACAAAAGTATAGGAAATTTCCAAAGTTCAGCTTTTTTACACCTTTTCAACTGTTTTCAGCTATTTTTATCAGTGGTCACTCACACCCCTGTGTACCGGTATGTCAAAGCAATATGAACTGAACTAAACTGAAATATACTTTTGTTTAAGTAGACAAACAATGTTCGTTCTCTTTTTGTGTGGTAAAGTCATTTTTGTTCTTCTGAAGCACTTTGGTTTTGAAAGTGTTTTAAATGCTATTGATATGTTTGACCTGTTTCTACATGTAGGTTATTGATCCAGCCTATGGAATGTATGTCTGGCCATGTGCACCTGTGTTAGCACAGTATGTATGGACAAGGAGGAAGTGGATCCATGGCAAACATGTAGTTGAGGTACGTTGGTATACATGGGTAAAGTGGAACGCCGCTATAACGAACATCGTGGGATCCACAGAAAGTGTTCGTAATAACGATCGTTCGGTATAGCGATTTTGAACTGCCAGTACCCTCTTTTGACCAATAGTGAAGTCACTGAACTGGCATTTCTCACATCCCGCCGCTGCACAAGGAGTTGTCACAAAACTTTAGCAACGGGTGGTTTTCCCTTTTATTCCTTGGGGAAATAATAACCATCTATCTCTCTTCAACATTCAAACACAATGTAACCATGGGTGGTTTGATGTCCGGGAATTAAAAGTGGCCCAAACAGTGAATAATACATGTACAACCGGTAGGTTTTTGGTTAATCTGTTGACTTTTTTCAACAACGATGTTCGGTACGTTTTGTACATTAAAACCGGGAGCCAAGGATGATGTTCGGTAAAACCGAATGTTCGGTATAGCCGTGTTTGGTATAGCCGCATTCCACTGCATGTTGCCTATATTAAATTTGTAAAACTAATTAGGAATTTTCAAATTCCAGCATTACGTGTACAGTTTCCTCGAAGAGGTGAGGTGTTCTTATTAGAGTCTTTGTAAAGAAATTGTTGTCTACTTCAAAATTCCTTCTTCGATCAAACTGTTTCTTTTCAATCCCTTTGCCCCTCCGCGTGTATTTGAATCAGCTGGGAGCGGGTACCAGTCTCCCTGGTGTCCTTGCAGCAGTATGCGGGGCTCGGGTCACTCTGACCGACCACTCCCGGCTTCCCCGTTGCCTAGGCAACTGCCTCAAGTCCTGCCAGGCCAACGGCGTGGCGGACAAGGTGGACGTGGTGGGGCTCACATGGGGCGAGTTTCCCCCTGAAGTCTTCCAACTGCCAGGGTTTGATATCATCCTTGCTTCGGACTGCTTCTATGATACCAAAGGTGAGTTTTGACCAGTGGATGATTTGATTTGATTTTACTGATTTCACTGATCAGGATTAAAAAAAAAAAGCTGCACAACTGATTGGAAATGGGTTTCAGTTGAAGCATTGTCTCTTACATGTGTATGTTCCTCTACATAATACAGAATCACATGAGATGCAATAAATTTGTATAATGATTTCTGTATCATTTCATAATAAAATAGACCTAAAGTAACGGACCTCACAAGCAATTTTTGTACAAACCTCTAACAGAGGTAGGTTCAGATCACATTATTATGTGCATTTTTTCGTCCCATTAAATGCGCATTTTTCTAAGGCCTATGGGCTTCGTGCACTTGTAAGTACCCCCTCAAGGGTAAGGAAGGGAGAGTTGGGGGACACAGCTTAGAGTGACATTCGAATGCATTGCCGACGCCGCCTGACGCTCATGCCGAAACGCTTTGCTTTGTGTACATTCAGAATAAACTAATTAAGTTGTGCATACATCGCGCTATATGCGCGCGAACCAGTACGCACATGCAGTGTTTTCCATCCACGGGAATCTCGAAGGTGTTAAATAGGCGCCCTCTGTTGGCGCATGGAGCCCATATCTACAGCACTGTATATGTCCAATTTGGTTGAAACTGAACTTGGTAGGTACATGTACCTAGACCGGAATGCGTTATAGATAAAACTTGCAGAGTGACCATATGATGACGTCATCACATGTCATGTGACGTCACATTAAAGATTCATTTTTAGATTCCTATAACTACACAACTGTACACGTATGTCCAATTTGGTTGCAACTTGGTATCCCCAAACAGGGACGTGCTATAGATAGAAATTGGGGTGATGTTATCATGACATCATCACGTCAGATGAAGAAACATTAAAGGTACATACAGTGAAATCTCGATAAGTCAAACTCTGAAAACTCGAAACAACTGTCAAGTCAAACCAAAAAATCCATTCCCTTCATTAGTATAACAATGATATACAACCCTGCTTTTAACTCAAAACTCTGCTTACATGTAAGTCAAATTTGGAACCTGTTCCCTTGAGGTTTGACTTATTGAATTTCACCGTACTTTGAAGCCTTATAATGCTACAACTACAGGTCTAATTGAATTGAAACTTTGTATACACATAGACAGGGATATGTTATACATTTACCAGTATGCGACAATTGTACTTACTACATGATTATGTCGTCGCGTGTCACGTGACGTCATATTAAAGGTTCATAATTCAAAGCGTTACGTGTATGTCTCCAGAATCACAGGTCTAATTAAATGGAAACTTTGTGTGTACATAGACTGCTCGGAAAATTTGTCATTGCACGGAGGATGTTAGACACAGAAGAAAAAACCTAGCCGAAACAGCTGTGTTTGTTGACGTGACAAACACAGTTCTAGTTATTCATATTTACATTCATATTTATTCTTTCAACCTCAAAAAAAGAAATTGAAAACTTAAGCTCTTTAGTGATAGTCTTTGTTATACTCAGAAATAATTACAAAGTGTAAAAATAACATCAAACTCAATATAAAATTAATATATTTAAGGGTAACACATTGATCTGATACACAACATTGTTTGTAATTAAATGTGATGCAATCAAAGCAAAATGAGTCGTTTGTCGGGAACTTTCATTTGGAGATTCAGGCCAAAATAGGGCCACTTCATCACATCACTTCATCACATCTCTTGGTGTTCTGAATAATTTTTGAACTAAAGATGGTACCAGCATGCGGTTTTCACAGCAGTAATGCTGAGATTGTGCTTATTTCAAATCTGTAAAAAAAAAAAAAAAAAAATAACCAGGGTCGACAAACGACTCATTAAGCTTGATCGCATCACAAATGTAATTAGTGTATATAAGCTGACTTGGGGGGGGGGGGGGGAATAAAAATGCTTTCACTGATACGTTTTTGAAGACCCAACAACCTCATTAAATTTACATCTTCAGAATTGAAGGTAGACAGATTCCACATGGCCTCCTGTGATTATAATTGCTGTAATTTTGCCAGCTAGCAGAGCCTTGGTTCATTGGGAATCCAAAGAATTTTCTCCAGCAGGTGTAAATTGTAAATCAATTAGCCAGCCTTGCTCTGCTGAAGAAAACTGTGAATAGATACATGTCACATCATTATGTTTACGCAATAAGGTGCAAGTAGTGCTAGCCCTAGCTTCACTGATGATTGGTACATGATTTCTGTATGATGTCACAGGTTCAACAGAAACTAGAGTGTGTTTTGCTTTAGTTGTGGCAATTTAAATGTAAATTTGAATGTTCTTTTGTTTTTAATGTCTATTTGATGTGGATGAACCGTGTCTTTAGCAGTCCTTCCCTAGCCAGGCCTTATCGGTCATTGACATAGGCCCAAAGGTCATCAAACTTTTGCAACTCTTAGATGACATCAGTTTTTTTAACACATATTTTGATTGGCAGTACAGTATGCATGTTATGTTTATTGCTTTTTTAGTAGGCTTTTTTACGAGGACGCTCAAATGGTTTGAACACGCTGAGGGCTGTATTGTGCAGTCCATTGCAACCGAAATGCTTTTTGAATGGAAACAAGAAAAAATGTAAATATTGTGTGATGAGGTCAGTGCTTTTGACGCAGGCCTGGCAAATGTTTTTGTTTTAAGAGACAGGTATATAAATTATTAAGGGAATAAATGTGTGCTTAGGAGGTGTTAAATACTGGTTGGAGTCCGGAATGCTGATAATTACCCAGGCCAAACCGGAGGGTAATTATCAGCATTCCACATTCCAACCAGTCTTAAACATAGTGTTTAATAACGACCAAGCACATATTTATTCCCTTTCATATACCTTTTTCGGTAAAAAAATCAAAACTTTTCAATCCAAAAGTCAAAACAAGTCAAAAACGTAAATTTTCCAACAATTTTATTCAACAATTTTACTTTCTGTTTTTTGAAACACCCCTCTAGCTTTATAATGGAGTGTCCAGCTCACGAGTAAGATGTAAACAACTCTTTTTATGGAGATTGGCGCGTGCGTCGCGCGTGTACTGCGCGATGACGCGCAGATGCAGCTGTGGTGAGTGCGTTGTGAATGTAGGAGTGACTATGAAATACTGACTCAATAGTGCGCATGTATTCATGAGAATTTTGAACGTTCAACCAATAAAACTGTGCTTGTACCGGATTTCATAGGAGTCCAAATTTCATGTGACACTGGAAAAGTGCTTAAGACCAGCCAGCCATGTCTTTATCATCCGTTTAAGACTGGCCACGTGACGGGCTCTCAACCAGTGGGAATGGGTAAACTGTCTTAGGAATTAATGAATAGGTTAATTATAAATGATGAGTTGTTATGAAACAAATGTTTAGGGAACTCTACAGGGAGCTGTCGGTACATAAAATTATGGTTGTGTCTAGTGCTTGTTTATCGGGGGTTTGAATGAAGCGAAGGACCACAGGGATAAGAAGCATGGACATGTTTTTGAAAACAGGAATCAGTCTCTTGAAAAGTAAAGCCGTTTCTGTTGTTGTAATTTCAACTTGGCTGACATTTCCAGAATGAGTAAAGAAAGATGTAGGGTAGGAGTGGTTCACAACACAGACGGCGTCCAAACGTTCGCATCAGAGAGATCATTTTTCAGATTTTATGATCAACTTCTAAAATATGCATACACTGTACATGTACATGGCAGTAACATGGAGGTAATCATTTGCCCTTCGTTGTGGCAGTACCGCACAAATACAAATTTATGCAATTGGAAGCCCTGTAAGTTAAAAAATACATAAAATATTACCATATGAGACATAAAATATTACTGCTCGATCAGTCCTCCTTGTCTAGAGAAAAATTACTATTGTTTTGTGTCTGCATGTGGATGTCTAGTGAAGTTGTTGAAGCAGGGTTTGTACCACCAGCACTCTACACTTTCCTGTATAGCAAATTACTTACATCTTTATGCAATATGCATGTAAATTGTACATCTTTGTAAAAAGGAGGATAATTAAAGACTAAACAAGGAGGATAATTGTTGTTTTACAAAAAAAGTGGATGGAGAAACAATATTTGATTTAACCAAATTTTGTACTTTCCAAATTCCAACATTTAATTTTTGATGGTCCCAGAGGGGCAAGCCTAGGGGCTCCGTGCGCCAACAAGAGAGGGCGCATTTTTACCACCTTTGAGAGCTAGCCCCGCAGATGGGACATGACGCGCGTGATGTGTACTGGTTCACGCGAGGTATGCACCACTGCACTTGATTCTGAATGTGTTGTTGTTGTTGTTGATGTGACGTAATGGTACGTTCGGCAAACTAGTGCCCTTTGAGCAATACTTCTGCGTTACAGAACAGTAGGCATCGTCAGCAATGCGTTTGATTGCCCCCTCCCCCAACTCTCCCATCCTTGCCGTAGAGGGGGTACTTCTGTGTACCTGGCTGATTGACTGACTGACTGCAGGGCTCCCAACTTTGAGTAAGAGCTGAGAGTGAAAATTTGGCGATGGAGCTTGATCAGAACTACATGTAATGCAAGCCCGAAGCCCTAATGACGTGGGGTTATTTGTGGGCCCGCTTAAGGGCCCCGAAAAAATTGGATTCTAGACTGTGGTGCGATCTTAGGCAATTTCTGACCACTTTAACAACTTTTACTTTAGCAAAAGATCCTCATTCAATTTTTTTTTTTTTAACGTGAGAAATCCTGTGTGGACGTGAGAGCGTGAAAATAACCTGAAATGCGCGAGTCTCGCGCTCATTGCGTGAGAGTCGGCAGGCCTGCTTGCCGACTGCCGCTTGTGAACTAGACTTGATTAGATCTCACCTTGGCCCAAAAGTCTGTAATAAAATTAATTACAAAATCAGGCCAGTGAATTGGCTGTATGCAGTAGGCAACTTGCATGAAAAGGCTTCCAGTGAATAGCCGTGCTGAATCAATCAAATAGAATTTGTGTGCACTCTGGGACCAGCTCTACCAGGCTTGCCTAGTCTTGTTTATTTGAAGAAAATTAAATTCCAAGTGACCTCCGAAACAAAAATATACACGAACCTCCTGCTGCGTACCTACCGCTAGGCATGACACAATTAAAATAACCACCGCCTGTGAACTCAGTAGCATTCCACATAGAATTCATTCCCACCTTTTTTAAAGGGAATATATACATTATTTGCTTTTGCTGTAATTTTCAGAAATGGATGGAATTGGGGGGTTGGAAATATATAGCAAATACAGTTACACTGACTTTGAGGTTTGGGTTCGAAAATGCTATAAATACCAAGAAAAACGATCAGTTTCCTGTAGTCTGGTTCCCTGACTCCATATAAGAAGAAACAGAGCAGTTTACATACATTGGGGAATTGTAAGGTCAGGGAACCAGTCTAGGTGGCTCGTACCCGTTCATAGGTTTGTAATCGATTGCAAACAAGTGCAGTGGTCAATTGGGGCCAGTATTTGAAAAAAAAACCCAGTTGTTTCCAACGCTGATCGGCCGATCAGCGTTGGAAATTGATACAAAAATACCACTTTTCTTGAAAATGACAGTATACCAGGTGCCATGATTTTACAGGATGCTTTACACTGTCATTCACTAACAGTCCAGCAAGGTATTTCAAAATAATTTGGTAGTTTTATTTTTTGATGTTTGCAAATGTTGTATTTTCCCTTTAGCCGAGAGAGAATAACATGCCATACATATCACCTTAGAGCAGGGCACAGGGAGTGCGATTTCAGTACAAAAGAAAAACGTATCTCAGACTGAGAGGGAAGTTGCACCGACTCGACAAAATACCCTCCCACTCTCCCACTTGCAGCTAAATGTCAGATGTATCCTCTCACCCTCTTAGACTCGGCCCTCATCAGCTGCAAAAAAATGTAATTAGGCCTATAGGAATGTGATGGGACATGATTGTGTGCAGTTTCATAAATTTCATTTATCTTTCAAGCCGTCCATATGTTTTTAACTTCAATTATGCATGATTGGAGGACTGAATCATGCGAATCTTGCCATCTGTTACTGACTGATGTCTGACTGGTGTCCTAGTAGCAGCTGGTCTGACTACATAATGATGTAAAACCAATTTTTAAAAAGTAAACATTTAAAATAATTTATTTTTGACGATTTCAGAGAGAATCATAATGAAATCTAGACTGGTCGTGTTTGTTTTACATAAGATACTAAACTAGAATCCATACAAAAAGAGTAAATACTGTATAAAAATAATTAAAGTTTGGTGTATTTGACTCTGAAAAGCAAGCCACAAACCATAAACATTGATATTTAACCAATATATTTTACTTCAATGCACAGTGCAGTGACTTATTACAACAACAAAAAAGAAGAAACAATAGGACCAGCCATATTTTGTTGTGACAAAACATTACATTTAACCACAGATAGTTTCTCTGCATGAATATTTGTGTAGTATAACCATAGAGCTATATTAAATTACTAGATCGCTGACTCGATGTACAAAGTAATGCCTGCTGGGCGCATCCATGTTTTTGCACAAACATATGGAAAACTGGTACAGCTATTTGCATATATCTGCGTTTGTGTTCTACACCGGTGCGTCGTCCCAGCCGATACGCCCATAACCAAAACGCACAATCAGTAAAGGAGCATTACATTTTGCTCAGCGAAAACAACGCAAACGTGTGTGCCTACTCACGTCACTTTTTTCTAACCGTCATGAGTGACGCGCTTAAGTTTACGTATGTTGGTCTTGCGCCTTGCATAATAAAGAGTACACTTTTTAAAAATCTAATTTCAGTATGTTCAACAAACACACACATGAATTCAAAACGTCTGCACGCAGGACGGTTTCAAAGTATCTCCGCGCGTAAGAGTGAGAAGTTAGCACTGTAGTAATTTAATATGGCTCTATGAGTATAACTGAAGTATTGATACAAACCTGTCTATCTGATATATAAAACTTTAAGAAAAAACAAACATGTAGAACTTTGAAATGGTTGTGTAGGGGGAAAATATTTACCTAGTCTTGTTTTTGTTATTACCAAACTTGATCAATAAATTATTAATATTTTTGTGCAAAACACTGTGTTTTTGCTTAAAATATACAGCACAGGGAATGATTAAATGGTCATTGAAATAAGATATTAAGAGTTTTTTAAAAGTCTTTAAATGCGTCATAAGAAAACGAGTCCTAATTTTTGTTTTTGTGTTTGATTTGTTTTTGTATTTTTAAGATCAAAACATGAGATCTTGAGAAACCTGAGTGCTCTTTAAATGTGAGGAGGTAATTTTATTTCCCGTTTTATTAATAGCAAAGGATATTTGGGGATTAAACAATCCCTTCAGGATAGGCAAAGTCAATCTAATTGGATTTGCATTGACGTAACCGCGTAGATACTTAATTTGCCTTTCTTCCCTGGGGGTGGTTGGGTAGGAAATGAGTAGGAGGTACCTGTGTGTCTGGCAAATAGGAACCTACATGTAATCATTCGGACAAAAACATGAATATAAATTTGCTAAAAACAAAATCCTCTGTTTCTGAAAAACAATACAAAGACAACGTCATTCTTTCTACTTTGCATTATTTCCTGAACAACAATGCAAAAACAAAGTAATTCTTTCCAATTTGCATTTTTTTTTTAAACAATACAAAAACAAAGTAATTCTTTCAAACTTGCATTATTTCCTGAAAACAATACAGAAACAAAGCAATTCTTTACAATCTGCATAATTTCCTGAAAAACAATACAAAGACAAAGTCTGTTATTCTTTCCAATAATTTCCTCAAAAATAATACCAATACAAGGTAATTTTTTTCCAATTTGCATAATTTCCTAAAAATAAAATACAAAAACAAAGTAATTGTTTCCACTTTGTATTATTTCCCAACAAACAATACAAAGACAAAGTAATTCTTTTCAATTTGCATCATTTCCTTAAAAAATAATACAACTTAGACAAAGTAATTCTTTCCAATTTGCATTATTTTCTGAAAAAAATACAAACACAAAGTAATTATTTTCTGAAAAAAATACAAACACAAAGTAATTCTTTCCAATTTGCATTACATGTATCTTCAATTCGGTATTATGTAAAGAAAATTTATGGGACAATATGTGTCTTCTAAAAACAGAAATATTCCCAATCCCAATTCCCCAAACAACTTTGATAATACATACAGACTTTGAATATTCTCCCGATCATAAATGGTTCAAGATTGATCAGCAAGTAATAAATGGGAATATATACTCTGTTTTTTTCTTCTTCAGAGTTTGAGAACATTCTAGCAACTCTGCATTTCCTGTTGGACAGAAGCAAGAATGCAACGTGTTGGATTACGTATCAAGAGAGAAGGTAAGAACAAAGCCTGTCATTCACAGTATTTTCTTGCATTTATGAGCAACTGGCATTTAACATTTTTTAGAATTTTACCCTCCCCCATTTTGGGGTCTGAGTATCGCCCGTTTTCCATGGAGCCAAGTCTCCTGTATAACGTCTGATATGTCTGGACATGCAGCTATTTGCAAGCCGCGTGCCAGCCAATCAGAGTCGACTTTACTAAATCGTGACGTCATATCATTCCCAAATCAGGACTAATGGTTTGATTGGTCAATTTGAATGCAATGATTTGTGATACAACAACAGCCGGGGGCTTATTGCGTCGGGGGCATATTGCGTAACGTGATACAGAGCATGTGACGCACTTTTGTTTTATCCATGTCTATGACACGCAACGGCTGAATGACCAAAGACTGGTAGAAAGCGCCCGCTGATTGGTCAAAATCTAGAGGTCAAGATGTGGTTGTCTTGCATAATTAATCAGCAAATCTGCTCAAATGTACTACATAGACTACCCATTCTGTAAGACAAGCCATTTTTACATGGGTTAAAAACCACTTGACAGTAAACGTCGAAGCTGGATAGTTTTTGTTTTCATGCTAAAGAAGAACATTTCTGAGACATGGATTCAAACCTGGTACCTCTGGACTCGATCTTGCTCAAATCCATCTTCATTCACTTTCCTGCGTTCAACCACAACATAAATTCACATGGAGGTATTTGGCATGGGTTGGTTCCGACTCGGTGTCTTGTTTTGCAGTTCTGATCGGAGTATCGAGCATCTTTTACTGAAGTGGGGTCTCCGGTGCCTACACGTCCCCTTGGAAACATTCGGGGCCGAGGGACCCAGTCTCGCTGGTTCCAATCTCCCTGGCAACCACACCATCCAGTTTTTGGAGATCACCAAGGCAACTAAGTAAATACCAGGACACCCCTTTCCATAAGTGGACCCGCCCCTGTTTTCATCATGGTGTAGGGAGATTATGCACGGCTGCGCCCTTAGGGGGTCTTTATGAGACAATTGGCGGGGAAGTCACTGACTTGTGAGATCATCGCTCTACTTGAACCGAGCATCCATTCCCAGGGTATTCCAACTGCTTTTACAGCCATAAAAGACATTGTAAAGTTCAAGTATTACAGCATCTGCTAGGCCTGTTGTCATTAACGCAGTGCAATTTTCTCTGGGAAGAAACCTGACAGGAATACATCACCAGGAATGCTTGAACCATATCCCAGCATAAAAATAACCAGCAGTACTTCACCCTAAAAAGGTCTCATATCGTGGTGCATATTTCTATTTTTTTTCGCTGTAATTACATGTACTTGACCAGACTGATAGACAAGAAGGCTCAATTACATATACTCCTTGCTCACATAATGCCTTCAATCTTGTTTTTGTCCAGCACACGAACTCTCTTTTTTTTTTAGTACTATCAGTAGAAATGTGCATGGATATCCATTGGATCTGCATTCGCAATGCAGATAGGCCTATTATATTTCACATGGTCTTTCATCAATGCCTTCTTCAGATTTTGTTTCCCGCTGGGATATTCATTTGATTTTTCCTGTGAGCATATGGCCTTTTGTAAGATTGTTTTCCTCATCATACGTAGTGTCACGGTAGGATTGAATGTGCTGACCGAGTCTGGCACCCATACTCGTGTCGTGTGAAAAACAAGCTTGATTGACAGGAGAAACAATAATATCTGAGTTTGTTTCCATGGTCGTAGACTTACAGGTACATGTACATGTTCCAGTACTCCATTAGGTTCTTTGAGTACCAAAACCATTTAGTTCTGATAAAAATTATGGTGGTATTTACAGGCGTCAACTAGGTTCATTGTAGATTTACTAGGTTGTAGTGCATTAATGTTCTACATGTAGTTTATATTTAACATCTACCTGGTAAAAGGAAGCAGATAGCAGCTTGCGATATAATTTCACTAATTTTGCCAGGTTGTTGGTATTGTTTAGTTTCCTATCCTTGGAAATGAAATCCGTAAAAGCACATGCAAACGAACCGAAGAATTTGAAGACACATTAATTTGTGGTATTTGTACAAGTACAAACACCACATCGTTAGTCATAAAGAAAGTGACCAGGATTAATTATTCCTCCCCCCTAAAAACAATTGAATTGGATACACCAATGAAGCCTGTATGAAACGAACGTGTTCTTCCACTCATCTGATCAAAAAGGACTGACTGAAATTGATCCTTGCCGTAAGAAGTTGTGCATGTTTTACTTACCCATTTTTACAGCTGTCCGTGGAATGCTCAATGTTTTGAAGCTATTTAAATTCAAATGAGATTTGATTTGAGTCCAGACTGAAACATTATTTTTACTTTCAGATTTTTGTTTTGTAGATGAGGAATAAATCAAGCCTTGTTTTTCAGAAATGAGAATGGTCATTTTATTTTTTCTGTTTTCCCTTGCAAGTTTCGTTCATTGTGTATTCAACAATGCATAACGGTAAAGGAACAGTGGTGAACAGCTGAATTTTGTGAATTGGTATTTCTATTAAAATATTTATAACTTGTGAATAGAGTACATGGAGATTACATGAAATTTTCACAGTTATTGTCTGTAACATGTAATATTCCCATGTTATTTTTATGAAATGGAGCGAACAACATTTCTTTTTATTATTATTTTCTTGATCGGTCACTTTGTTTGTGACTCGCCCTGTACGGCATTCATGTTTTTTTTTGTATACAGGGTGAGTAAAAAAAGCCCAACGAAACCCAAATAGCAGGACCAATTTTCGAATGAAGTTTTGCCTTTAGCACTTTTAAAATCAAGGATATGAAAGCCCAGTCATTAAGCTTTCTTTCAGTACAAGAATCATTCAAATCACACATGCACTTCTCAAGTTTTTTTTTTAACTAACACAAACACCGTTTTAAAGTTCTGTCCACGGATCACAAACAAAAGTAAGTGTTCCTTCAGCAAAACGAAATCGATTCACACACATCTTTATGTGAATTGTTTTGTCTTGCTGAAACAACGCTCACCTAACTCCCTGTAAACTTGAAAAGTCACGAGTGATGTGAATGATTCTTGTACTAAAAGAAAGTTGATTGATTAGCCTAGATTTGAAAGTGCTACAAGCAAAACTTCATTCAGGAATCGGTCCTGCCATTTGGGTTTCGGTCTTTTGGTGTTTTTTCCCCACTTACCCTGTAGAGTAATTAGTTGATAAGAAATACATGTATGTGTAAATGTACAAGATATCTAGTCACCTTTAGTCTTAAGATACTCTGTCATCAGTGTGTCCCGAATGTGGTAAACTAATCAGACCGACATTCCGCCGGTTGCTGATTGGGGAGAAGAAAGGGTGAAGACGGTTCGATCTGACGTCGGTTACCATCAAAGGACAAAGGTCAACCGTATAATGATGTTGGCAGACGATAGAGAAGCTTCCGAGGAATTTAAATTCGACCGCCAGAAGTCTTTTTATAGTTCTTTTTAAGGAAGCAGATTTGAAAGAGATTAGATTGGATGTAAAGCTGTACATAATTATTTTGGATGTGCGTGAATGTGTGGGCGGAATATCAGCGTCATAAAAGGATGTATGAAACCATGGCAACATTGCAAAATTAAGGTGTATTTTTTTAGTTGTGACGTATTTGAAGAAAAAAACTGTTATTGTAGAGCTTGAAGTTAAATGAACCATACATGTATTTATTCAAGCAATCAAGTATTGACTAACGAAAGGAAATCACGTGGTACGCATGTGTATGCCTGGTGGATTTCCTAAGGACTTAGTCTCATATCCCAAGTGGGTCTTCCAAGAAGCTACAGTCATGCGAATAGATTCTGAAGTTGACTTAAAGGGAATGTACAACATTTGCCTTTTGCTGCAATTTTCAGAAATAAATGGATTTGGAGGATTAGTATGTTATAGCAAACATTGTTACACTGACTTGTTTCACGTTTTGGGTTCGTAGATGCTGGAAAAACCAAGAAAACCAATCATATTCTTGTAGTCTGGTTCCCAGACCCCACTTAAGATGAAACGGAGCAATTTATAGACTTTGGGGAATTGTACGATCAGAGAATCAGTCTAGCAGGCTTGAAGTCTTCACAGGTGTGTAATCAATTGCAAAGAAAATGCAGACGAACTACATATCAAAAACTAAGAGCACTTTTTGAAGAAAAAAAAGCCAGTTTTCTCCAACGCTGGTCGGCCGACCAGCGTTGGAAAAATACAGTTTTTCTTGAAATGGCAGCACACCACGAGCCACAATTTTACAGGATGCCTTAGACTGTCATTCCCTAACAATCAAGTAAGATATTTCGTGATAATTTGATCATTTCGGTTTTTTTATGTTTGCAAATAATGTATGTCTTCCTTTAATCATAAAATTAAAACATATGGCATTGCAGAGCTGTGAATTTGTAATAATGTGACCCATAAACTAATTTTAAATAACGATTAAAAAATGTATTGTATTCCTTTGTTTTCAAACAATATAAGTTTGTGTTTCTAAGGTACAGCTTATCTTGCGTATGCTCTTCAGAACCAAACTGAATTCCTTTCCTCGCCCCCCCCCCCCCCCGCCCGCCTGAATTTCTATCTATAGACCTACACCTGCGGAGCGTAACAATAGTTGGTATTTTGAGGGTGGATCGTTCCCTCGAAGTGCAGCAAGTCTTAATAGTTTTCAATTTCGCCAATGAGTAATATAGAGGAAGTTGAATCTGATCCTGACATAACCGTACTTTATTGTTACCACTTTACAAAATGACCATCGCCTGTGCGTTCGCGGAGATTAAATTTCATCGTTGCGTCAGCGTGTCTACGCAAATGCAATATATATTTCTGAGTTTTGAAGTCATGCACAACTACAAACATTTCAACTGAAGAGACGAAAGACTTGCAATTATCTTTCTGATTGCTTCAAAATGCACCAAGGAGCCAAATGGAGCTATCCTATATTAAAAGACCCTCCACTGTCTGTCTGTCTGTCTGTCTGTCTGTCTGTCTGATGTCTGACGTCTGTCTGTCTGCGATGGTTGACGGAGAGGCTTGGTTAAATTGCATGCAGGTTTTGAAATATATGCTCCGATTTCACGAGTCCTGTGAAGTCACGGTTGGCATATGAAAAAAAAATTATTTATTTCTTAATTTCGTCAATTTGTTTCATTCAGACTTTGAATAGTTAAACATTATTACATTATCTCTATGAAAACATACCAAAAACGTATCGCTATGATACACCAGCTAGCAGGTGTGACAAACACAAAATTGCTGATCGCAGACGGAAACTACGGGTTAATTACCATCCAATATCCCATGTGATTTACAGCGCATGCACTGTCATCTCTCCGTCAGAGAGTTATCTCTCTGACGGAGAGAGATTCCTTTTTGACACAGTATTTCTTTTATTACACCCGTTGCTTGAATGCTCATCAGGTACACCAGACGCGACGGTGTCGCTCAAGGTTATACCATGCAGTGATTTTTGGTTCATTTTTTCCCATTCATCGACGTTATTATTACTCCCGTACAAGGAGGCAATAACTGAAGGCCCCATTGGCTCAGCTATCCTTGAGCTTGGCCAGAAAAAAAAAACGCTGATGAGGCTCGGAATTGTCATCAAGCCCACGCCATGTTTGCGTTCTGTAATACTGTCGTCATTGCTTTTACTTCCAGTATTACTGGAGTGAGTTTATATGCAGTTAATATTAAAAGTGCCGTCTTTTGAATTATGAGGAAGAAATAAGCGGTAAACCCCCAAACGCGGATAATGATGGTTTTTACGTTCCGAACTTCCGGTAGAGTTTTATTGACGCCGAGAAACGCACGTATTTCGCTTCATATAATTATTTTGTATCTCACGACTGTCGCGGTATTGTCAACACTGAACGCTGACATGTCAGAACGGTACGCCGGTTATGACGCCCTGATTGACTGTCATAATTCAGTACAGCCATTGTTCGTCAGTCATCGTTATATTATTTGGCGATATTTTGACACATACCCTTTTAGAGATCTTGGTTGAATACGAACAAGCGAACCTGAGACGATACATTGAATCGGATACTTTGTAGCTGTGAAACCGAATAAATCGCCTTCATGGTGGATTTTTTTTAAAATCCGAACACACTTGAGACATAGTGCGTGCACCTTTACAATGAAGAAAAACTATTCTTTATTAACAAACGAATATGAACATTATTTCAATCAGTGAGGGAAACCAATTACAATTTCCTCCCCCCCGGGGGGGGGGGGGGGGATCACAGATGAAGGCATGCATGCATACATCATTTTCCCTTGGAGAGGCATGTATCATGTGATGAGGAGATGAAGTGTATTGTCGAGGCCATTTCAATCTTTCCCGCACGATGCAGTGTGTGTCTGCAGTGTCGATTTCATGTACACTGAACAGAGAAGAGTAGCATGTTTTTTTTTTAAAGAATTTTTAATTTGTATGTTTTGTCTCAACGAAAAAACAACAACAACAACACTACTTTATTCCGATGTTGGGCGTCTGCAACTCTCTGAAAAGGGCTTCGATCACAAAATGAGCCAAATTATTGTCTGACAGCCAATAATTCGAATTTTAGAAAGAAATAAGTCAATAATAAAGCGTCGATGTATTTTTGTACGATGTCTGATAAAAAAAAAACGAATATTTTTTTTATATTGCTAGGAAATTAGCAACTGAAAAAAAATCGGGGTGAAACTCAAAAATAGCACGGGAAACGCATCTTTAACAAAACAGTGACCAACCTGGCAGACTTTCCTGATTACGAGACGCAAAAAAGATTTGACAAAAGCAACTCATTCAAGAATGAAGACGGTACATGTTCTTGGCACGAAAGTGAATCAACACGCGACTTTACGGCAAGTAATTGCATTGTAAATTTACAAAAGTTCAACTGTAGTTCTACACACTAAATTCAATACAAGTGCAGTTGTCATTGGTTTGGAAGAAACTGTTATGAAACATGCATGGTCTTTGAGTCATTAGTTTCGTAACGTGCACTTCATCATCTCTTGTTAGCATAACGTTTTCTCATTAGACGAATGGTAACACCAGATGCATGGGTGTGATTCGATAGGCATAGGGTCGGGTCAGAGGAATCTAATACATTAATCAAAACAAAAAAACAGCTGCCAACCAAGGCTTGCAAATCATGGTCAAAACAACACACCCTCGACATTTCTTACTATTTATAAAATTTAGAAATATACCTCTTGTCTTTCCCAGAAATTGGCAAACAATTTAATATTGTGTGCGAGGGAAATTCATGGTCCATTTTAAAATTAGCAAAGGTTTTGCTAATCAGCCAACTGCATTTAATGCTTGAAAGCTTCTGTCCCTGTTTACTCCTTTACGAAAACACTAATGACAGACGTCAATCTTTCGTCCGCACTAATCACCTTGATATCACATCCATTCATATCAAATTATTAGACTCGGTACTTAAGTTCTCACCTTCGCTAATGAGCTGGGGGAAAACAAGTCCGCACACGGCAACGCAGTGCCAATGGCCGCGCGAGCTGGCTGTGTAAAGTGCGTGCGCTGCATAAAACGAGACATTAGGCATATACGTTTACATGTACCTGCTGCTTGTAAACAAACGCACGAAGCTTGGTATGTTTCTGGGAGACAGTGCGTGCATGGAATTTCGCAGATACCAAACTGGTCATGTTAGGGAATGGAACTGGGTCGAAAAAAACTTGACCTAGATGAACTAGAATCAAAGAACGCAATTTTCTTAGCGCAAATGAGATATGTATCTAATTTTAATCATTTCTGAAATTTTATGCCGAGATTATAAAGAAAATTGCAACCATGGATAAATTTGGTGTCCAGTGGCCATAACACATTAAGATTGAAGATGAAGCATGTAACTTTTGTTAAGTAAATTTGTGGTTGCTCTTAATTAGTTGTTTTCGGACATAAATCGCCTGCTCATGTTTAGGCCTACCTGACTTTTGTGTCGAAATGTTACGTACTTAGATACATGATATTGTTTTTGATTCATCAAGACTTGAAATTATCAAAGTCTAGGAAATGAAATTGGACAGGAAATTAAATTCGAAAACCTCGGCGCATTTTCAATTACCGTCACGGCTACCACCATTCAAGGCTGGTGCAAATCTAATTTGCAAATGGCAAATGAAACTGTAGCAAAGCAATGAATTTTTTTTCTCTTCTTAAGCCATTAGACAATTCGCGATGGTTGTCATACGCAAAACCAATTAAAATGTTAACGAAGCAATCAAATTTGTATGTAATTACATGCAGCGCACGTCTGAAGGTAACAATGTAACAGAACGTTACCAAGTCCATAAAGTCGACTGTTATATTTCCGATGAAACCTACTGGGTTGTTTCAATACCTACTTTGTTAACTCAGTACTTTGTTTTGTTTCCTTTTTCCCCCCAGTTTGATCGGCTTGGATTGTTTTATCTATTTCAAGGAACAAGAACGTCAGATTTATTGAAATTGTAGTCTTAAGATTGATCCCCAATCAACATTCCACCAGTAATCCGTCAAAATGTAAAATAGAAGAAGAAAAAAAGACTAATACAGAACTCACGAATAGTTTTTTTCAGTCATACCATTTGAATAAACCCACAGCTGAAAAAGATCCTTGTTGTGAAGATGATCACCAATTCGGAGCTTTTCTCGATCGATAAAGAGCGAAATTATTTATTTTCCCCGTGTTCATTTCCCCCTGCAGAGAAGAAAAACATAAAAATGGATCCATAATACAAGTCCTCGGGTATAGTAAACCACACGGAAGCACACACGCGTATACTTTGTCCACTCGTATTGATCCTTGTGTGAGGAAATGTACAGTTGAGATTGGTTTGGGTTGCTCATCGAAGCTACGAAAAAAGCGAAAGGCAGAATAAACACGAAGCTTGCCGGCTTTTTTTTTTGCTCCCATGCCGTCCTAACGATTTTTGTCCACGGAAGAAATTTCATACGTCATGTTTTAAAGAGGTGGTGTATGGTCTTTTGAAGTACGTCGAAAAGTATTTGTTACTTTACTCTGAAAAAAAAACCTGCGGTGGTATTTATCACTTTTTACACATATCGTGATTTTTTCCTATGGAAACAATGTTATACGTCATATTTGAGGAGGGGAGCAAGGTCTTTTGAAGTAAGTCGAATAGTATTTGTTATTTTACTCTGAAAAAACTACGGTGATATTTTTCACCTTTTACCCAAGTTGTGATTTTTTTCTATGTAAACTATATTATACGTCATAGTTTAAAGATGGATGTATGGTCTTTAGAAGTAAGTTGATAGTATTTGTTACTTTATTCTTAAAAAATGCGGTGATATTTATACATACCCATGTTGAATAACAATGATTATTTCCCTATGGAAAAAATTGTACACGTCATTTCTTATAGAAGGGTGCATGGTCTTTTGAAAATAAGTCAAATAATATTTGTTAGACTTTTGACACTTGAAAACTGCGGTGATAATTATCACCTTTTTATCCATATAGAACCGTAATGGTTCATTGAAGAAATCATATAGTGTTCACTTCACACCGCAGTGTAATTTTAGTGTATCTGATTTCACAAGTTTGAGTAGCGAAATATATCTCTTTAACATGTTTTGGCCCCAAACCACAGACGTTGAATGAATGCTTCTCCGGTATGGGTAGACTACATATCATTAAGCATCCATGGCAGTACATTAGCATTTGATCATGTCTGTCCCGTTTCATTTTCCGCGCACATGATTGCATACCTATCGTTGAACCTATACTCAATTTTATCACTAAAGGATCAAATTATTTATAAGCAGCAAAATTTCCATTGATCTTCTCCTGTTGGTTATATTTTTTGTGTTGTGCAAAATGTAGGCTAACTCCATGCACACACATCTCGATCACTGTGAATGCATTTCATACTGTACTTTCGTATAAAGAACTTTGTACATGAAACCCTATTGACAAATTTGTGACAAAAGTGAGATCCTGTAAACAGGAGAAGAGCCAATCAACAGCCACGAATTTTAACCAATTACTGAGAAGGCTTGGAGGGGCAACCAACCAATAAGAATTCTTGTTCTGTGACACTTGGCAAGGCCTGGCTATGGGCCAATGAGACGTAGGGTTGGTTCTTTACATTCTAGAAGTAGAAAGTTTAGGCGGGATGGAAAAGTTGCTGGCCAGTCACTTTTGTCTCAGCCTCTGAACAAACAACTTGGATAGCAAATTTTACTTCACATTTTTAATTCTTACATTCGTACAAATCTGGAGTCTTCCATGACATCTTTTGCATAATTAAGGTCCCACACTGTTGTTTTGGGCCTTGGATACAGCGTTTTTGTTTGGGCGAGATTGGCCCGTTCCCTGTCGAAAACTTCTAAAAGGATCTTCCAGAGTGGATTGGAGCTGCCTAATTAAACGGACAGTTTCGACATCTGCATCAACGTTCACTTCCACCTCCTGAACAGCAGTGTGACACCAGTGGCCAACGTTGAACCTATACTCATCTAATCATGAATAATTATAATGAACAAAACACAAAGAACAGTATTCTTAGCCATACAATTTATTACATATACCATCGATCTCTCAAATATTTTTTCTCGCATATATTGTATTTGATACGTGGTGGCTACTGTATTGCCAGTGAAAGTAGACATCCTCGCGAGCTAAAACTGATTTGATGATGTCGACACATTGCCCAATAACCATTTCGAAAAGTATGAATGGAAAATCTTAAAAATGAGCGGCAATAGTTGTGAATATATACAAGGTTTTGTCTTTGAAACAAACATTATTGCCATTTCAAATATCCGTCCGTGTAATGTCCAAACATTAAGTCGGTCCGGTTTTTTTTAATATTGAGCATACTTTATACATGTACTTTTGAAACATGAGATAAAAGACGAATAAGGGTTCTTTTAAACTAAAATGGCGTTACGGCAGCAGACTGAAAAAGAAGAAGATTCCACAAAGGATGGATGTAGTAGTACTCATCCCGTTCAGAAAGGTTTAAATATTAAAGGGTTTCCTCCTAATCTTCTTCGTTCGTACAACGGGAATGACATTTCGAAGGAGTCCCAAATTTCCCCACACCATTCTACAAAACATTTGCTAACATACATGCCGGTCCAAAAAAGTTGACACTTTTTCACAAGCATATTTCTCAAAATGAAGGGACATGTTGAAATTATTTTAAGATATTCCTAAACTACGAGATCTTGATCGAATATGCTGACAACGGCGCTGAAAATAAAGCTCAAGTTAAGAAAAAGCGGTCATTTACAGAAGAATGGTCAAAAACTAGTTTGTCCGTGTCTGTGGCAGTCACGTAGACCTTATTACAAGTATTGCAGTTATCGCATAGACTTGCGTGAGGACAACCTGGTTTTTGACCGTCTTTCTTTAAACCATTGCCATTTCTTAATTTAGGCTTTATTTTCAGCGCCGTTTTCACCACATATCACAAAGATGCTGTAGTTTAGGAATATCTTGAAAGAATTTTAACGTGTCTCCCAAATTCCAAGAAATCTGCATCTGAAAAAAGGTGTAAACTTGTCTTTACCACCCTGTAGAGTAACTTTGTTAGCATTTCAAACGTTAATGAACCAGTAGAACCGCCCTTCGATAGAGGGGCTGGGTATTAAAAAGCATGGAGCTATTTTATAGCCACATGGACGTGGAGGTTTGGTTGAAGGTTTATTGCTTGGGTTGGTCAACGTGACGAAGCGTGCAGCGTCTTAGTCGCAGCTTCAGTCGACTGTTGGCATGCTGCCTGCACCCACTCATCAATCCGCTGCCTCTTTACCGAGCTGTCGGAGTACGTCACGACTCCGTGGCTCTCAAGCATCACCCGGAGTTCCTTCATGGCCGCCACATCCCCGGTACTGGGGATGTCACCATCACCGCTCAGGTTGCCCGGTCTGGCCTGGTCTGGCTGGGCTTTGAGCCACGCCTCACCCATGTACTTGTTGATCTCGTCCACGGGGCACCGGCGCTCTGGGATAGGGTCAAGAATCTTCTTGAGCAACTTTTGCATCTTCGAGGAGAGTCTCCGCCATTCCAAGGGGGTGAGGTTCACCCTCCGCTTCTGCCACTGGGTGAAGTTGCGGAAAGAGGTGTCCTCCGGTGTGGCTGTGCCCCAGGGGAAGACGCCGAATAGGACGCAGAAGACGAGGACGCCGAATGCCCAGATGTCCTGGTTGTAGTCGGCCATGTATCCTTCGTTGATGACTGTGGAGCAGATCTCGGGGGCCGTGTACGGCGTAGAGCGTGTCCGCTTTGTCACCGTGTCCCCGCGTCTCTGGGTGTGCCTGAAATCGGAGAGTTTGACGACGGTCATGTTAGCGTCGAAGATGAGAATGTTCTCTGGTTTGACGTTGCCGTGCACCAGCAGCCTCTTGTGCATAAACGTCAGTGCCGAGGCGGTCTGGATGAGACATGATTTGGCCCGGTGCTCGTCAAGCCCCTGCTGGGGCGTTATGGCCTCTAGGAGGTCCCCCTGCACTGCGTACTCCTGGACGATGATGAAAGCCTTGTCAGTCTCGATGGGTTGGTCGAAGGTGACGAGAATCGCCGGATGGATCAACCGGCAGCTGGTCTGGAATTCCCTCAGGTACTCATTCATACGGGTCCGCATCTTGTGGTGGTATTTTAGCACCAGGTGTCTCCCCGTGGCCCGCTCCACGACCAGCTCCACCTTGCTGAAGGCCCCGCGGCTCAGCACCCGGATTGAGACGAAGTTACCGGGGCAGGGTAAGGCTTCCTCGTCTGGTGAGGCTGCAGGAGAAACCCTTGTGTTCCGCGTTCCGTCCACCTGCCTCATGTTCCTGGCCTGGGTGGTCTCCATCTGATACAGGATAACGCACTCCAAGTTTGCCTCAGCACCCCCGTGCAGCCCAAGTACACATTGAACCCAGTCTGACTGTCGTCTCTACCGCTTCCGCGGTCACGGTACATCGTAGTAACGCCGAGAATCATTACCCGGTGTTTTTGCAAAAGATTCCCATCGATCTTGGTGCACTTTTGGCATTTGGCATAAATATCGCGGTCATCATACGGGAGAGGAGGATATGTGTCTGCGCACTCAGTTCACAAAAGTGCACTCTGCAATATTCAGTAAATATACGTGTGCATGTAGCAGTGACGCCCAGCCTCCAGATCCAACGTCACATTACACGTGCTTCAGAGACAGCCTATACATTATCACTTGACGACCTCGGGAAGGAAAGAGCAAGCAATCATCGAGATCAGGAATTACCGGTCCTATCCTTTTCTGAATTTCATATTCGACATTTGGAAAATCTCGTAAGTCTCCCCGTCAGTCTCCGTTTTGCAAGAAGCCCGCGTCATTACGATTGTACAGCGGAAATTGTTCATATTGGAACTGTACACAAATCAATTATTTCGAATGACATCAGTGAGCACGTACATACATATCACATGTGTGTGCGTGAGTGGATGCGCCAGACGGAATGGGCGCAACCATTTTCAGAACGAAGGGTTATCGCAGGTAGAGTTGTATCTCTCTCTTCAAAATACGCCTGTAGCATTTCTTCCCTTCAACTTGGCTTGCATGTGCCGGGGGCCATTTAGATGTATTCCGAGCTGAGGCGCAATAAACGTTAACGCAAATAATACCCCACGGGCGCCAATTGACACCAATGCAATTCCCAGACAGATAGCCTCTGCTCCCGGTGTAAGACAGTGATACCTGATAAAACACGCGTTTAAATTTGCTGACTACGACGCTATAAAAAATGTACATGGGTTAACATTTCACACTATGAACGTAAAGGCTTTTCGCAGAAATATTAAGATTCTAACGGGGATACCATTTAGGCGCACAGCTACAGTCACAAATAAGGTATCATTCGGAATGATAAAACTCGCGCACGTGCGACAAGCAAAGCTGCTCGAATTGGTGGAATAAACAAGGCCCGATATTTCATTTATTTATACCCGTCAGCGTCCCTATCTGTGACATTTGAAGACCTGTTATTGTATCCGCGCACCTTTTTATAATTGTAAGCACATTCGAGATGTCCCCCGTGGGCATTAATTATTTCAAGTGTCATGTGTTGTTTATCGATTGAAAAGCAGGATTTATATTATTATGGATATTTGGTTGTTCCAATGTGTTGATTTCTCACATTTATACGATATTGGGCATATACCGTTCGGGGCTCTTTGAATGCTGTATTCTATGTTTAAAGCAACTGTTGTAAGTTTTATTCATGTTGGGTTTTTTTTCATTGTAACATCTGCTATCAAATACCTCTGATTTGTGATATATGCGGACTTGTGACAACGGGGTATTCAGGTTGACGTAGAGGTACTTTCCCCGCCTTCCATCGCTGTGACCCGGGTTCGAATCCCGCCTGGGCCAATATGTGGATTGGGTTTTCCGTCCCAACCTGATTCTGTGGGTTTTCCCCACAGAATCTGGGCTTTTCCCCCCACCTCTAAAACTGTAATTTCTTCTCATTGTCTCCTCTCTATAGGTTTCGTCAGGCTTTCGGGCTTCAGTGCCTAGGGCACTTTTGAGGAGTCCTTGGTTTCATTACCAGAAAAAATTAAAATAAAAAATAAAATAAACAACTACTTTATCAAAATACTTGGATTCGTCACACAGCACATTCCACAATTAATTTTATTAAGATTTTTTTTCAATCTTCAGATATTATTTAAAAGATAAAAAAATATGAAAACGTTCTATGTTAAAAAATAATTTTAAAATAATAAATTGTCTGAAAATGAGTTTAATTTGATGAGTATTTTCACGATTAAGGGATTTTGGCATAAGTGCCGTGTACGTTGACGTCTAAAATAATTTCAACACTTCACCCTTTCAAAGCTTCAGACCCCATCCACCGAACTTTTTCTGTAACGCCCTTTTAAATCCGTTTTTGAATCTCCATTTAATCACTAATGATCAAAAGAGCAGCAAACCATTTCAATTAATGCTATTTTTATAGTAAAAAATGAACTTTCAAAACCTCAATGTTATATAAATAATTATGAAAATTGACTGAGTGAAAGACCCCTTGGGATTTCAAGACAATATTTCAATTACGATAATCTGTCATAGCAATTGAGATCATGTTGATTAATGTCATGTTATGTTATGTTTTATTCCACAAATAGGAACCAAACCCCATGACCATGGGGAGGGTTGCAATAGTGAAATTGAACATTAAATTATTTGGCAGGTGGGTTTACACAGAGTATGCTTTGAAATGACGTCATGCTCTGCCTCTTCTTTAGTTTTGTACATTGGAAAATATATTTAGCTACACATATAATATTATGTTTATCAGCCGACGACATCAGAAAAATGAATTGGTCATTTTTTGTTAAAACCAGGCTCCATTTTACAAGTGTCACTGAGAAAGTTTGTTCGAAGATCATTATACAGAGGACATTAAAAAAACAATGCATTTCAGTTTCAACCTCAATGCAATAAGACATATCTAAGACCATACATGAAATGTCGCGAACTCCCACAGTTTTTTAATCTTCTTTTTGTTTTAAAGCCATTTCATATTTAATAATGTTGGGTCATAGCAAGTTTGAGTTCATAAGGTCATCTTTTTTTACTGGCAGGACACAATGGTAAATATTGATTCCGTTCAAGAACACGACACTAGTCACGTTCACCACACCAAGCGTAAGACTATCATCGAGATCTAAGCCTCTTTTCATATCCTCAATCCAATTATATTCCATTTTAAAAAGAAGAAATATAAAAAAGAGGATAAAACTGGATAAAAGAAAGGATTAAAGAGAAACGTCCTGTGATGGATTCGGCCAAACGACACAGGGGATCGATTCAACTTAAGGTTGACTCAATTAGAATAATGTAATCAGGAATATTTATAGCGGTCCGTGTATACCGTCTTCTCAACTGCCCTCCTTAGGGCCCGTCTTCTCGAACCCACAGATGCAAGAGTCGACCGTACGTCATCATCGAATTCCACAGCGGCAGATTTTCTTAGTGGGACTATTTTGAGCCCGCGCGGCAGGAGACGGCAGTTCCCGTGTGAGTGCCTCGGCTGGATATCTAGGTCACGCGCCGGTCAAACTCTGATACCGGAGGCGGCAACTTGGTGAAAAACATGACGTCAAAGTGCTGGGGAAATAAATATTTGTTTGCCAAATTTAACTGCAGTCGTACGTTCGTCGAAACAGGCAAGGTGCACTTTTAGCTGACTTACAACCGCGATAATTCAGAAAAGAATATTTTTATGATTTTTTTTATGATGTGCTTTTTTGCGGGCGGACAATTAAAGTTTGGATGACCGCACTATTCCCAATGAAACAAAAATGCTGAATTAGAAATGCTGACTGCGTAGGAGATGCAATGCAAGAGCGCCCTCATTTGTCAAGAAACAATTTTTGTGTGTGCGATTTTCGTATGGAGATCGCCAAACTGTAGTGTTTTCATAATTATCATTAAGATATATTTGACAATGTCTGTCATAGCATGGTCACAGAAAATCCACATAGGCTAATTCCTAATTCCTTACTTTTAGGAAAACAATAATACCCCGTTTTCTTCTGACGCGGCAGTGTTTCGCCTTGCCTAACGTATTTCCAGCTAGCTAAAGAAGCCATCGAGTTGAGAGATTTTTTTTTGAAACTGTCAACATAAGACTAGTCTATGTAATAGAAAAGCCATGGTCTATGATATGTGAACAGATTCGCTGATTAATTATGCAAGACAACCGCATCTTGACCTCCAGATTTTGACCAATCAGTGGGCGCTTTCTATATCGGGTCTTGGATCAGCTTTCTATATCGGGTCTTAGGTCATTCACCCGTTGCGCGTCATAGACTTGGATAAAAAAAACTTGTGTCACGTGCTCTGTATCATGTTAATGCCCGCCCGGCTGTTGTTGTACATGTATTACAAAACACCGCATTCGAATTGACCAATCACAGTTTTAGTCCTGATTTGGGGATGAAATGACGTCACGATTTAGTAAAGTCGACTCCGATTGGCTGGCGCGTGGCTTGCGGTATATCTGCATATCTAGACATATCAGACGTTATACAGGACTTGGCTCCGTGGATAACGGGTGATGCTCAGACTAACATAAGACTAGCGCTGCAAAAAATATATATGAATAAATATCACGTAGAGAGCTAGAGATCCACGCGCGTATTGGTGACAATTCAGGCCCTAGGCTAGTTTCAACCATTTCAACACATAGATCCTGTAGCGCACACGTCTGAGGCAACCATTTGAAATGCAACAACTGTGACTGCGATAACGACTACCGCCCGCAGCGGCTCAATTTTTTGAGAACCCAAATACTGTAACCCGAAATTTCGTTGCGCGAAAATTACACGAAAACGTCAATTTTTCACAGAAAGTGTATGGGAAATTTCATAATTCTACTTCGTAACGATCTTTCCACCCGTTATAATTTCGCGGTAAGCGTGCTTTCGAGCAAAAAAATCTCCTTTAAACAAAACAAAAAGGAATCATAGAAAAAAAAAATTGTTTTATATCAAGAAGATACCGACAGTCGTTTTTTGTGTTATTACATAGAAGAATATCTGCTTCCAATTTTTTTTTAATGTGGACTCAATCGCAGCTACAGACTACATCAAGAAGTTCATTCCAATAGGTGTGTTCTAAATTCATGTGAGAGGGCGCCCTGTTCTAAAAAAAAATAACCATTTCAGAAAAAGAGTTGCACCAGACACGTGTAGCTGTGTTATAATTATGTTATTATGATGCCGTTTGGTTTCACACAATACATGCCGAATATCATGTGGTCTCTTCGAGCAGGTCAATGCTCCTTAATAATAAGCGTGGGCTTTAAGTTCTCGAAACGTGGCGGCAAATCCAACATTTTAACAGTGCAACAAACTATTATTCCAGAAATGCGCCCTTTTCGGGACCCCGCCAAAATCGTGCGAGAGGAAATCAATACAGCGTTAACGCTGGAGCACTGATTAACTACACTGTGCTCTTTTACGAGGCTTCGGAAATAATCAGAAGCATCAGTCACCAAGTGCAAGTAAAACAAAATAAAAACACAATCGTCCCAACCATCTCGAAGACTGCGAGTCCCGCAAGCTGAATTGCCGGCTTGATTAAAACCGAGCTTCGATGACATCTGGAAAATTAGTCCAGAGTTATATATATGTATAACCCCAAGCCAGACACCGAGTCGGATTATACTGCCTCCTAAACAATAAACAATCTCTGTTCCAATGACGTCATAGCGGAGATTTCATATTTTTGCAAACATTACTTGGCGTGGGCAGAAACCATGATTGCTGTGTCAGAAAACAGTCGTCTGGAGCTCAAGTCTGATGGATGGGATGTTGCCCCGCCCCTCCCCTCCCCTCGGACCTGTAGGCATATTTTTAATCAATACATACGGGAACTGTTCTATTCTGATTTTTGTTATGCTGACTTCAAATACCTTGAATAGGTGGGCTCTGTGTATTTTGGGCGCAACCAAGAAGTTTAATGGTTGCAGTGGTACCAATTTTACCTGCTTTTGTTTTTAAATTGCTGTGAGCTTTAACAGCCCCGAGGATATAAAATCATCAAATGTCTGCCGTTGTGGAGTGAGAATTGTCACAGCGCCCTCTTTGATCAAGAATTACGATGATGTTGCAGACCTAGATATCATGCAGTATTGTACCATGAAATTAAATGCACTTTCAATTGTATTGTGTAATGAAGGAAAAAAAATTTACCGACGGTAAGAAAAATCTAAAATCAAATGTTAACGAAATAATGGTCATACTTCAAATTTTAATTTTACAAGCAAATTATAATATAAAAGCTGATCTATTTCAAGATTTGTTCATTGTCAAATTATTATTTTATTTTCTAAGTGATTTTTTTTCTGAATAAAGAAACCTGCCTCGACTGTTAAAATCAACAGATTGTTCTGTTAGTTTCGTGATCCAGAAAAGACATTTACTGACGTCACAGGTTAGTAGAGCTCGAATTCGCAACCATAGTCCAGCGCTCAAACTCAAACTCGCCTGTATGTTAATCGTGTTGCTA